AGAAAGGGAGAGGAAAGATCAACAGGGCCCTTCCCTGTTGCCGCCCTTGCCCTTTTCTGCTTCTTGTGAGCCTGTGACGCCATATCACCCATGCCACATAACACCAAAAGGGAGGCGATGGAAGAATCGTAAGCCTGGAGAGGGAGAGGCAAGATCAACAGGGCCATCCCTCCCCTGTTGCAGTCCTTGCCCTTTTTCCTCTTCTTGTGAGCCATGCCACAACAACGTAGAAGAGAGGGCAGGGCGCTGAAGTACCAATGCCCGTCAGGGCCCAACACGACAGTCGCCTGGGTTGGGCCTGCGGGTGCTGACTCGTACCCCGTCGTGCGCACGGGGACTTGGTGCCCGGACGCAGTGTACCACGGCGGCATGGGTGGGCCGTGATGCACAGCAGACTCTTAGCAGGTTGGAGAGCTGTGGCTACCCGTCCCGCGGCTACCAGGTGACGGGGATGCGTTGGGGATTCCCGCGGTCGCGCACGGTCGCAGTGAGGGCGCATTGGTGTACGCGGGCTGCGGCACGAGTCACTCCAGGACGTCGACGAGGCGGCCAAACGCGACCTCCTGGCGTTCAGACCGCTCGTGCATGAGACGGGTCATCGCGTCCGCGACAAGGACGTGTCCAGAATGGGAGGGTGATTCGACGCCCTTTCTCTTTGCAGGAATGTGGGCGGGCGAGCCGTCCGTGGCTGGGGGGGGGGGGGGGAGGGAGACGGCATCAGGTTTAATAGGCACAGGCTGTACTCAGCTGTCGCTTGTGATGCAAAGCCCGTAGACATGACATTTGCGGCTGAAACGATGTTTAGTAATTGACATAGTAACTCTTTCTACTCACCCCCCTCGGTTGGTGCCTGCGAGGCTGTCTCGTGTGTCGGTGCCTCCTGTGCGGCGCGTGGTGCACGTGAGCTTGTTGGTCCCGCATTCTCCGTCCTTGCCCCACCCTCGTCGACGACGTGTGGGTCGGGCACGCGATTCGACCGCCAATAGTTCCACACGTGGGGATACCACTCGGGCTTGGGCATGGGTTTGTTGCCGGATGTCTTGTCGGCTACCTCGATATCCTCCATCCGCTTTGAAATATATTTCCATTTTTTTTGCATCGCGACAACTGGGCGATTCCATTCCGGGTTAGCGTGCTTGATGACTAGATGTAGTTTCTCCCATGGCTGTCCACCTTGCTTCCCTTTCAGCTTGACGAAATCCTCTTTCGTGGCCCACAACGCCGAAGCGAGCTCAGTAAGCTCACTTTCGCGCCAGTATTTGTTTGACGGGTCTGCTCCGACGGCGGTGCTCTTGCCTTTCAGGTCCGGCGGGTCTTGGAGCTTGTCGGAGTCGTCAGCACCCGCGTCGTCGAATTCATCGGCGGCGTTCACGGTGTCGTAGACGCCGTAGCTTCCGTCGTCCATGTTGACGTCGCCGGCAGCGTCTGGCGCATCCAGGCTGGCGTAACAGTCCTTCTCGTCGGCTGCCGGGTCGCTGGCTGAAGAGGCTGGCCCATTGGCAGATGACATCTCCTTCCGCACTGGAGATTCCGTCAAGCCGATGGGCTGAATGCGACTGATGCCACGCTTCTACAAGTCTTCGAGGTAACGAATCAGCGGGGGCGCCCGACGGGGCACGTCGGCATGTAACTCCAAGGACTTGCGCTTACCAGTGCTGTGCATATGTTTGGGAGCCATGGCTCGTTACGACGCCGGACGCCGGTGTTTTGTGGGTGTGTAGAGCAGTGGTTTTGAATAGATTGGCATCGAGTATTTGTATTCACAAGGCACACGCTGCTCTGTGCTCGTGTAGCTGTTGGTCCACCATTTCGCGGGGCCTTTTGTCGCTGTGCGCTTCGATGCAGGCGTTCAATGTGAAATTTTGGATGGCAACGGGACTTTGGCAGAAACAAGCGGGCCGTCAGTTGTCGCAGCCACGTGCGACAGAAACTGTACTCTCTCGCATATCATTCTGCGCCTCGCCAGACCATTTGATTTGGCGCGATTGGGTGCCGTTCGCAAATTGTCGCGGCCTGGTCGCCTAGTGTTTCCAGAAAGGTTGGCCAAAGTTCACCTACCACAACTTTTGCCAACCAAAACCTCAAACTTTGGCCAAACTTTCGCTGACATGGCGAGTCGGTCGGCCAAACTTCAACTCGGCCAAACTTCAGAACGCCCTCTAAATCAAAGATCGGCACGCCCTGGCGGAGCAGGCTGTGCCAGTCGAGGAGGTCCGGGGCCGGGCCAAAGCGACGACGAAAGAGATCGTCAAGGCGGCGGAAACAGCGGGCGGTCGGGTGCGGGCAGCGGCACAGAGTGCCGCGGAGAGGCCCGGTCTGAAGCTGGTACTGGCAGGTCACAGCACCGGAGCCGTTGGTAGACGCCGAACTGCGCGGGCCGCCACCACGGCCGCCTTCGCCAGAGGTGCTGGGCCAACCAGTCGGGAGACGGGCCCACGGCTGCGGCGGCTGCTGCTGGGACGGCGGCTGCTGCTGGGGCTGCTCCTGCTGCGGCTGGGGCTGCTGCTCCTGCCCACCGGTGGTAGTCCCCTCAGGCGGACTACCGTCACGACCACCACCACTAGGGGGCTGTACTCTCTAAGGCATAACCCTATATGATCTACAACATCATACACAAATGTGTTTGACAGGGACTGCAGCAGTTGCGGCAGGGGCAGTAGCAGCAGCGGCAGTGGGGGCTGCGGCAGTGGCTGCAACAGCTGAGAAAAAAAGGTTTGACCTAGCTCAGTACCATGTTAGAGTAGCGGGAAGGGAAAATCGTCGAGGGATACAAAACTAGTGCTGCACTCACTAGCTAGGATATAAACAAATAGGAACTATCTTATCTATACAAATATATTTGTTGACACTTATCACCTCCACCTCCTTCCTGATAGATTCCCCTTACTGTGGGTCGGCCAAAGTGAAATGTTGAAGGCCTCTATTACTAATCTGACAGGTTTCCCTCCTAAAAATTGAATGAAGCCTTAAACATATGCATTTGGTTGTCCTTCTTTTGTCTACTGATTTTTGCTACTTATTTGCACGTTTAAGCCACTTGAAAAAAATCCGTAACATTTTTGTAGGTGTTCCGATTGTCGCGAATGTACCACCGTCGCGAATTCGCAGGCCGGCATGTTCTAGAAAAGTACCCCAATCCCCAATTATACCTACTGATTATTCCGTACATCGAGACTCCTAGTCGGCTCATGGTAGGAGCTCGCGCATCGGACCTCTGTAGACGGTTCACTGGTGTTTTGGTGGACGAACCGCTGCTGCTACTCCCGAGTGATTCCGCCGATGTTGACTTCTAGTAGGAACGTCGTCGGCATGATCAAGGCGTGGACGCTACCCTTACCCGCTAATTGCGGTGGTTTTTCCATTCGATGCGAAATGCCACATCGATCGTGATAAAATGCAGCTCACAGTTCGTCGTCTCCCATCCCATCAGTCTTGGGATGCGCAACCTGCAGGAGACTAAGTAAGAATCTGCAGACACAAGTACTTGAAGTAGAAAGTAATATTGGAAGTACCTCTAGTAACAGCCAGTATTAAAGCGAGGTCAAAATAGTGAAGGCGGGTCCAACTTGAAAAGGCCCAGACGTCCGTCTTTGCGACTAAGGGACGAAACTACGATGGGGCAGAGGGTACAATGTCGAGGAATGCAAGCAGGGGAAACTGGGTGAGAAGATGCAGTTACCTGATTGGTTGGCGGGGAAAACATGACGTACTGTGGGGAAAATGGCTCGGGCAAAATCGCAAGGAACGCGCCACCTGTCGCCCAGCCCCCACTGCTTGTAAGCTGCACCAAGTGGGCCCAATTTGAATTTCATGTTGGACCCGGGTTCACTGCTCCAACAAAACTGAAGCTGGGCTCCGATTGGTCGAAATGCTAATCACGCAAATCTATGGTCGTAAATTTTGTCGCCAGTGCGAAATGTCGCAAGCACAATTCGATTTCGTGGCCTACGACTTGGTAAAAAACGGGGGCTGCAGCCCGCCCCTCCAAAAACATATTCATCGTTGGGTCGTTTCTAGTCGGGCCCAACTAGAAAGGGGGGTCACTATTATAGTCTCTCGCTTTAACAAGTTGTAACACCAGAATCAGTGTTACAGCCTTGCGATACTTCAAGACCTATCCAAGGAGGAATGGTAGACTAGTAAGACAACGGAAGTCTTAGAACTTGTAAAGTGTTGACCAGAATTTACTGAAGAACAAGTTAACAATTGAAGTTGTACAAGCTATTTTGATATCTACTAGAAGTACCTATTCGGTGATGTACCTGTTCGAGCTATTTGCGCTATGCGCTCTAACTGCTACTGAAAGGAGCACGACTGTTCGCGTGACTGAAATGGCTTGCTGACGTAACCATCTAGACGAGCTGTAAGGAATGAGTAATTCCTTACTGAGGCTTGCTACAGGGCGTACGACTCGAACAGTCCCGAACCAGCGATAGGGTTCCAGACCTTTCAGTTCGAGCCTTCTGGGCCTTTCCGGACCTCACTACGACACATCGAGGCCCTTCGATACCTTTCCCGAACCTTCCAATCCTACGTCCAAGATCACCCTAGGTTTTCTATATATTGTATTGTCTTCTATTTTATTGTCATTCACTCGTTCACAGTTTCGCCATTGCCCTCTGCGCTACTCGGCAGTCCCATTCATAACACGAGTGCTATTTGCTGACTCATTCTACGGATGCTATCTACAGTGTAACTCGACAACATCTATCAGAACTACTTACAGAAATGCTCTAGTATGACTTTATCACAACATCTATTACTTTTCTGGCAGGTTTCCCTCCTGAAAATTGAATGAAGCCTTAAACATATGCATTTGGTTGTCCTCATTTTGTCTGCTGATTTTTGCTACTTATTTGCACGTTTTAAGCCACTTGAAAAAAAATCTGTAACATTTTTGTAGGTGTTCCGATTGTCGCGAATGTACCGCCGTCGCGAATTTGCAGGCCGGCCTGTTCTAGATAAGTACCCCAACCCCCAATTCTACCTACTGATTATTCTGCACATCGAGACTCCCAGTCGGCTCATGGTAGGAGCTCGCGCATCGGACCTCTGTAGACGGTTCACTGGTGTTTTGGTGGACGAACCGCTGCTGCTACACCCGAGTGATTCCGCCGATGTTGACTTCTAGTAGGAACGACGTCGGCATGATCACGGCGCGGACGCTACCCTTACCCGCTAATCGCGGTGGTTTTTCCTTTCGATGCGAAATGCCACATCGATCATGATAAGAGCCAGCTCACAGTTCGTCGTCTCCCATCCCATCAGTCTGGGGACGCGCAACCTCTTGCCTCCCGCTCTCTGCCAGAGCCACCAGGCTATATCCGCTTTATCTGTTGAGACTTGTTAGGAGGCCAGCAGCATGGCTCGCGTCCCTCTGCTCGCGACTCTCGCGGTGCTTGCGTCCGTTATCTGCTCAATGAGTTTCGTTCTTTCTGGTTTTCACCGAAGAAAGAAAGGGAGTCGGACGGTTCGAGTGCAATCCGCATCTCAATCAGCTCCTGATCCCACACGCTGGTTCGAGCGAGATCCCTGTATATCGTCACCGACGGATGCTAAACAAAATAACACCCGTTTAATGTGCGCAGGTGGTGTAGAGTCGGATCGGACAGCCCCGGGCCGTTGGCGAGTGGAATGAGGCGGCTGCCGGATGATCATGATGTTACAAGAAGCATGCCAAGGAGGACACGAAGGAAAATCATGACAGAGAGGAAACGCACGACAAGCCCAACAGGCACGACGAGCCCGGCTAGGAGGATAGGGCCAAGAGGATTAAGTCTGAGGCCCTACGCGTTCGAAGGAGTGTACGAGTGGGAATAGTAAGTGCGAGGCGAAAGCTTATAAGGAGTTCAAGAAGTGCATGAACGGCCAGGATGACATGAAGGACACGTAGGACAAGGTGGGAAACAGCAAGGACAGCTGCAAGGAGAGCAGCAAGGAGTCAAGGACAAGAGCAAGGATGATGCCCGTCGTGACAGCGGAATGAGGCAGTTGCTGGATGATCGTGATGATCGCGAGAACAAAAGCAGGGACAGCAGCAAGGGCTGCCTGAAACAATACATGACTCACATGTAGTGGTCCATAATGAAGCCTCTGAAGACCGAGTGTGTGGCAAAGGCTTACATGAACTACAAGAGGTGCGCTGGCGGCAAGCGATCTTGCAAGGATGGGCCGATACAAGAGGGAGGAGTGCGAGGAGACGGGCGGGAAGGGGAAGGACTGCGACGAGAAGCAGGGAAGCACTGCAACAAGGCCAGCCGGGGGAGATGCTATGCGTTGAGAGCGTAGTTGATGGACAGACTAGTAGTAGATTGATGGGAACTCAGCTTGGGCAGGGTTGGGTTGGGAGGGGGGGGAGGATGGTTCCATTCCAGCAGAAGGCGTTTTCGATTTCTACAGCAGAGATGATGAACAGTCGATGCTTGCAGTTGTATTTGTCATCTTAGCATAAAAATAGGTAAGCTGCTTGGAAACACGGCGCAAGAGAGTTGGTGTGTTGAATAGGCGTGTTGGTGTCCAGCCCATGGACCATGGCGTCGTATCCAAAGGTGGCAATTCTAGAGAAATTTCTCCAGAATGTCAGAGCGTGAATCATGCGCTCATGGAAAAAAAGGTTATTGCCTTGACCACCCACGCCCTGAAACATCAATATGGAAGCCATGCGGAATCTAATGTCGCTAACCTCTGCCCTGCCGTCGTAGTGCTGCTTGGTGGTCTTACTACTGCTGTTGCTGCTGCTGTGTTGCCTGTGGTGTCTGCTGCTGCTGCTGCTGCTGCTGCTGCTGCTGTTGCATAGGCTGCACTTGCTGCTGTGATTGTAGCTGACGTGATTGTGGTGGTGGTGCCTGCTGCTGCGGCTGCTGCTGCTGCTGCTGCTGCTGCTGCTGCTGCTGCTGCTGCTGCACGGGGTGCACTTGCTGCTGTGTCTGTTGCGACACCTGCTGCTGCTGCTGCTGCTGTGCCTGTTGTTGTGGCTGCTGCATCTGTTGTTGTTGCTGCTGCTGCATCTGCTGCTGTTGCATTCGCTGCTGGTACAGCTGTTGCTGTCTCTGCCGCTGTTGAACCAGCATCTGCTGCTGCTGCGGTGTCAGGTTCCCACGCTGCAACTGCTGCTGCAGCTGCTGCTGCATGTGCTGCCTCTGGGTTGCCACCTGGTGGGCTTGCTGCTGCGGACCCTGCATCTGCTGCTGTTGCCGCTGCTGTTGCTGTGTCTGCTGCTGCAGCTGCTGCTGCATCTGTTGCTGCATGGTCTGTTGCATCTGCCGCTGGGGGTAATGTGCCTGTCCCTGCCCCTGCATCTGCCCCTGCATCCGCTGCTGCTGCTGCTGCTGCTGCTGCAAGTGCTGAAATTGGGGCCTCTGCTGGCCTGCCACTTGCGGTTGCTGCTGCTGCTGCTGATGTGCATGTGCTTGTGCTTGTGCCTGTGCCTGTGCCTGTGCCTGTGCTTGTGCTTGTGCTTGTCCTTGTGGCTGCTGTTGCATTTGTCTCTGTGGCAAACCTTGCTGCTGTGGCACCTGTGGCCTCTGCTCCAGCTGCTGCTGCTGTTGCTGCTGCTGCTGCTGCTGCTGCTGCATCTGTTGCTGTTGTTGCTGAGGCTGCTGCATCTGTGGTTGCGCCTGCTGCTGCTGTGATGCCTGCATCTGCTGCTGTTGCACCGGGTGCTGCTGCTGTGTCTGCTGCACGGCCCCTGGCTGCTGAATGCCCCCTTGCTGCTGTGCGCTGGGCTGCACACTGGGAGCCACTGCAGCAGCAGCAGCAGCAGCAGCAGGAGACATCACCTGCCTCTGACCTTGACCCACCTGCTGCTGCTGCTGTGGCAGCTGCTGCTGCATCTGTGGCTGTTGTGGTGCTGTTTGTGTGGGCTGCCCCTGCTGCTGGCCCTGTTGCTGCCCCTGCTGCTGTCCTGGCTGCAAACTAGTGCTTCCCAACGGACCACCTCCCCTCACTCCCACTCCCACCGCTCCGCCACCCCTCCCTGCACCTGCCACTGCACCTACCTGTGCCGCTTGCGCCGCTTGTGCAGCCTGCAATCCTGCTGCCTGACCGCCCCCCCCCTGACTCTTGGCAGCAGTACCAGGAGCCGTGGGTATGGGGCTTGTGGTTGCAGCGGTTACAGGGGGGGCAGATGGAGACGCAACAGTAGCAGGGATGGCAGCGGTGGCAGGAGCAGCAGGTGCAGACTGAAGTTGCTGCTGTGGCTGTGGCTGCTGGCGCTGCTGCTGCTGCTGAGGCGAGGGCTGCTGCTGCTGCTGCTGTGGCTGCTGTGGCTGATGTGACTGCTGCTGTCCCTGTTGCTGCTGCTGCTGCTGCTGCCCTTGCTGATGCTGTTGCTGCTGCTGCTGCTGTTGCGTGTAAGCCATGTGAGGTGGTCTCATTGCAACGCCTGCACCCATTCCCGCCTGCCCTTGCTGCTGCTGCTGTTGCTGCTGTTGCTGCTGCTGTTGCTGTGACACATGAGAGTGCTGAGGTTGCATCGGGTGCCCATAAAACCCTCGAGCCTGCCCCATCACCCCCCCTGCATCCACGGCACCACCTATTCCTCCCATCACGGCGCCCATGCCAGTCACCAAGCCTGAAGCCCCCACACCAACGCCCATACCCCCCTGCCCAGTCATCGTCCCCCTAGGCCCCATCCCCATACCTCCAGCACCCATCCTTCCTCCCATATGCCCCATCCCCACACCTGCTACCACGCCTGTTGGTGAGGCTCGGGGAAGCTGCGGTGGGCGCGGGGGATATGCTTGGCCAGCAGCACCTGGGTGCATTCCCCTGACCTGGTGAGGTCCGGGAACAGCATGGCCCCGCATGTGAGGGAGGCTTGGGCTTCCCGGACCTGCCACCGAACCTGGACTGGGGTAACCTACTCCTGGAGCAACCTTGGCAGCTCCTGGGGCACCAGGCATGGGCGGAGAGGTAGGGTTGGGTCCAGGGCCAGGTCCGGAGGCAGTGTATCCCGGACCTGCAGGCCAGGTTCGGTCCATACCAGCAGGCTGAGAAGGGGATCCCATAGTTGCAGAAGGGGGTTGGGATCTGGGATGGGCTATGCCTGCTATAGACGGGGACCCTACAGAAGGGCTCATAGCATGGGGAGGTGTGACCCTCTGCGTAGGGAGGGCATGAGGGGAGGGTGCATGTGGGGAGGGTGTATGTGGGGAGGCAGCATGCGATGGCATGGCATGGGGTGCGGCATAGCCTGGGTGATGGGGAGGGGGGGTGGCATGCGGTGGGCCCATGGCACTTGCACCAGCAGCAGCCGCTGCCCCGATTGCACCCCTCCCCATGCCTGCAGGCGACACCCCTCGCCCCATCCCACCCATCCCTGCCATCGCAGCACCGCTGCCAGCGCCAGTAGCAGCAGAGGGGGCAGCACGTGGAGCCATGTGGTGTGGCACGGTCCCCACACCACCGCCTCCTACCTGGCCCATACCAGCACCAGCAGCAGAACCAGCTGCAGCTGCAGCGGCAGCACCACTGCCTGGAGTGGCGCCATTGGCAGCAGCAGCAGCAGGAGCCGGTGGGGGAGCCAGAGGCGGCAAGCCTCCTCCACCTCCAGGCCCCCCAGTGGCCCCGCCTTGCCGTGCCATCGCCACTGCACCTGTGCCTGGTTGACCCGAAGGGCCCACCCCACGCCCTGCGGCACCCCCCCCTGCCATCGAGCCCCCTCCTCCTCCTCCCACCCCTCCCACTGTTCCCATCCCCCCCCCTGCTCCGCCTCCTCCCACCCCTCCCACTGTTCCCATCCCCCCCCCTGCTCCGCCTCCTCCCACCCCTGTCACACCACTGCCACTACCACTGCCGGCGGCACCGGACGCACCACCAGCACCACCAGACGCAGCGGCGGCGGCGGCGGCTGCGCGCTCGCGGGCGGCAGCGGAGTTGGTGCTGATCTGCGTGGCGGGGTGCATCTGCTTGGGCAGCGGAATCACCTGATCCTCCATCATGTGCCACCCCTCGCGCTGCACCTGCCGGGGGGGAGAGGGCGAGGGGCCAGAGGCGAGGGGCGAGGAGAGGAGAGGGAGAGAGGGGAGAGTGAGCGGGGGGGGGAGAGGGAGGACGAGAGTCGAAAGAGGGGAAGGAGAATAGGTGGAAGAGAGAGGGAAGAAGGGAGAAAATAATATGCAAGAAAGGGAGGGGCTGGAAAATACATGGGAAAAAAGAGTACGGGGTAGGCAGGCAAGAGGAATGAGGTGGCAGGTGCTGAAACGCGAGAGGAGAAGAGTGGTGCTGAATGTCAGCAGCGCAAAGGGTGAGGGTGGTGCGGCTCAAGGCGAAGGAAGAGGAGGAGACGCAAAAGAGGTTCATTGAGCGGCACATGTTTAAGAGAGGGGGTGCATGATACATGAAGGCCTCTACACGTGTGACAGCACGAAAACAGTATGAAAACAGCATGAAAGAAGCATGAAAACAGCATGAAAACAGCTTATGGTTTCGGGTTAAAAGGATTGGTTGCACAAGAGGAGTGGTTTCACAAAAGCAATGGTTTCAAATGGGTGCATACCACTCGGACGTATGTGCGGGCGAACCGATCCGCATAGTCCTGGAAAGAAAGGAGACGGGAGAGGGGAGGACGGAGGAGTGAGAGACAAGACGGGGTAAAAAGCTTGAGCTCGGGCAATAAGGGCATTGCAAGGCTGGGAAGTGAGAAAACAGACTGCTGCTTTAACTCCTCGTCCCTTTGTGTGTGTCTGTGCGCGCGTGAATGTGTGTGTGCTAGAGTGTGGGCGGGCAGGCGTGCGGGCGGGCGTGCGGGCGGGTGGGTGTGCGTGCGTGCGTGCGTGCGTGCGTGCGTGCAGCAGAGGGCAGCTCACAGTGTTGGGCATGAGCGGGAGCTGCTGGTCTCGCCTCAGAGATATGCCCGACCCACCCGCCCCTCCCTGCCCCCCTGCCGCCTCCGCGTCCCCGTCCGCCCCCTCCTGGATGATTGCCTCCACGCACTCGTCCTTCTGCCGCCCCCTCATCACCAGCCGCTGCTGCATGCGCCGCACGCCTGGGGAGCCACACGGAGGGCAGGGGGGAGAACAGAGAGCACCATGTGAGGGGAGAGGGGGGAATGCAGCTATAGGGACGAGGGAGGAGAGAGGAGAATGCGTGAACAGAGGGAGCAGGGAGGGAATCAAGGCATGGGGCTGCATACAGAGTGGAGCTTACAACCAGAGAGCAGGTGAGAGAAGAAGACCTAGCAGGAGAGAGAGCAGAGAGCGCAGGGCAGACTGTGAGTAAGGCAGGAGACAGAAGACAGGGAGGAGAGAGGAGGGGCGTGCGAACAAGACCAGGCGGAGATGTTAAACCATTTCCCCACGAACCTTGGGGATTGGAGTCGAGGCGCACGAAGGTGAGGCCGCGCATCTTGGGGCTGTTGACGTTGACGTGGTTGCCCAGCAGCGAGTACCGCAGGCTGCGCTTGCCCTTGGGCTCGGGGGGCTCCTCGCTGGGCGCCGTGAGAGCCTGCCGCACCAGCAACGGGTCCGGGTTGCCGCGCTTAGGCGCAGGCAGGGCCTCGGGGGCTGATGCTGGCGGCGGGTACATGTTGTGGCTGGTGATGCGCAGAGGGGGGGGCGCCGAGGGGGGGCCACAGAGGGGAGGTGGGAGAGGGGAGGCAAAGGGGAGGCAGTAGAGGGAAGGAGCAAGAGAGTGAGGCGGATAAAGGAGAGCGGCGGATCAGAGGGTACCAAGGGAACACGGGGGACGGAAATGCGGGAGGGGAATGGGAGGGAGGAAACAGGGCAAGGAAGGGGAGGTGAGAGAAAAATCCAGATGAAAGTCCAGAATGTTACGAGCAAGCTCACGCCATGCAATGCATTACAATGGTAAAGGTAAAGCCCACACGAGAGCACAATACAACGCACAGTTGAAGCCCACAGGAGGAAAATGTCGATTCCAAGAGCACACACCTCTTGATGATAGATAGCAGAGCTCCCAACGCCCTCTTTGTGTCCACTGGAGCAGCAACAGCTGCCTTCTGCTGCTGCTGCTGCTGCTGCTGCTGCTGCCCTGAAGCAGCTGGACCACCAGCAGCAGCAGCAATTGCAGCACTACCGCCAGTAGCGGCTATAGCAGCAGGTGCAACAATGGCACCATCAGGTGCGCCCTGCACCACAATGCCGCCTGGGGGCCCTGATGGCGGGGCTGCTACTACTGCCTTCTGAATCTGCTCCCCGTTCGCCCCCTGTGACGCAGCCACCAACCCCCCTGCTTGCTGCTGCTGCTGCTGTAGCGGCAGGTTGGGCCGGACCTGAGGTTTGGCATCTGGTGGCGCCATCATACCTGCAGGAGTGGCACCAGGTACGGTGCCAAGTGCTCCTCCTGGCGTGGCAGCAGCAGCAGCAGCAGCCGCAGCAGGGGGTGCTTCAAGAGGTGGGTGCCCGGGCTGAGCTTGCACGGGCTGTGACTGCTGGGCAATGCCGGGCTTGGCCAGTTGGGGCAGCGGTGGTGCGGCCGTGACTGGCTGAGAAGCAGAGGCAGCAGCAGCAGCAGCAGCAGCAGCAGTTACGGGCGCAGCAGGCACCTGGCCAGGAATGTATCCAGGCATCTGTGATTGTGATGGCACTTGTCCTAACTTGGACTGAGAAGCAATATGCTGCTGCTGCTGCTGCTGTTGTTGCAGTTGCTGTTGCAGCTGCTGAGGTGTCAGCTGCTGCAGAGGTTGTTTGGCTTGTACAAACTGCTGCTGCTGTGATTGCATCTGTTGCATATGCTGAGGCAGTTGCTGCTGCTGTTGCTGCTGCTGCTGTTGCTGCTGTTGTTGCTGCTGCTGCTGCTGCTGCTGCTGTTGTTGCTGCTGCTGCTGCTGCTGCTGCTGCTGCTGTAATTCCTGCTGCCTTTTTTGCAGCTGTTGCTGCTGCTGGAGTCGCTGCTGCTGCATTTGCTGTTGCTGCATTTGTTGCTGCTGCATCTGCTGCTGCTGTTGCTGTTGCTGTAATTCCTGCTGTTGCTGTTGCTGCTGCTGCTGCTGCTGCTGCTGCTGCTGCTGCTGCTGCTGCTGCTGCTGCTGCTGTTGCTGTTGCTGTTGCTGTTGCTGTTGCTGTTGCTGTTGTTGCTGCTGTTGCTGCTGTTGCTGCTGTTGTTGCTGCTGCTGTTGATGTTGCTGCTGCATTTGCTGCTGCTGCTGCTGCCTCAACCGCTGCTGGTAAAGCAGCATCTTCTGCTGCTGCTGGTACTGCAGCTGAGTCGCAGCATCGCCCCCTGCGTCCCCTCTGGGAACAGCAACCCCCACACCCATGGCCTCGGCCTTCACTCCCGGCCTCGCCCCTGCCAGCCCCATGCCCACACCTGGCGCTGCAGGAACCGATGGAGAGCTCGAAACACCTGCATGCTGCTGCTGCTGCTGCTGCTGCTGCTGCTGCTGCTGCTGCTGCTGCAGTGACTGTTGCTGTTTCTGTTGCAGCAGCTGCTGCTGCAACTGCTGCTGATGTTGCTCTGTTGCTAAGTCAGAGGACTGGACTCGGTTGGATGCAAGCACAGGAGGAGAAGTGGGAGTGGGTGCAGGTGGGTACGTGGAGGGAGGGAGGGAGGTGGTGGACGAGCTTCGTTCCAAGGATGGCTCTTGTTTCACGCTTGCCCTCTGGTCCACTGTTGTTGCTGCTGGGGCTGCTGGGGCTGGGACTGCTGCTGCCCCTGCAGGAGGTATCTGGCCAGGGTACAAGCCCTCACCTTGCCTTTGCTGCTGCTGCAACTGCTGTTGTTGCAACTGTTGCTGCTGCTGCTGCTGCTGCTGCTTTCGTTGCTGCAGCTGCTGTTGCTGTTGCTGTTGCCACTGTTGCTGCTGCTGCTGCTGCTGCTGCTGTTGTTGCTGCTGCTGCTGCTGCTGCTGCTGCTGCTGTTGCTGTTGCTGTTGCTGTTGCTGTTGCTGTTGCTGTTGCTGTAGCTGTAGCTGTTGTAGCTGCTGCTGCTGCAGTTGCTCCTGCTTCTGCTGCTCCAGCTGCTGCTCCTGCTGCTGCTTCTGCTGCTGCAGCAGCTGCTCCTGTTGCTGCTCCTCCTCCTGCTGCTTCTGCTGCAGCAGCTGCTGCTGCCTCCTCCGTTGCAGCTCCACCTGCTGCTGCTGAAACAGCGACAGCCGCTGCTTCCGCAGCACAGGCACGGGCATGGCGTGCGACAGCCCAGCGTCCTTGCCGCCAAACTCATCCAGGGACTCGTTCTTGTCCTCCCACCCACCATCCAGGCCACCATCGAGACTCTCCTCCAACCCCCCATCCAAACCCCCATCCAACCCCCCATCCACCCCCTCATCCACTCCCCCTTCCTCACCCCCGCCCAGCTCCTGCTCACCCACCAGCCCTCCCCCTGCTGCAACACCCAGCCCTGCTGTGCCGGCTGCTGCCGCAGCTGCCCCTGCTGTAGCCGCCCCCGCTACAGCTGTCCCCCCGAAAGCCCCGTCAAGCAGGCCTGCGCTCATGAGCAGGAACTCGTCTGCCCCCATCTCCACCTTCCCCCCGCCTGCTGCAGCAGCAGCAGCAGCCGCCGCCGCTACAGCACTTGCGACTACAGCAGCAGCAGCACTGCCACCGCTGGCTGAAAGCCCAGAAGCACGAGCAGAGGCAGCCTCTGGCGGCGCTGCTGCGCCCTGTGTGGCGGCAAAGGCGTCGGGAGGGCCTGTGGCAGGCGCTGGCATGGCCCCAGGCAGTCCTCTGGATGCCGCAGCAGCAGCAGCAGCAGCTGACACGGCTGTAGCCAGTGCTGGAGTGAGGCCGGGGGGGGAAACGGCGCCCTCCCCCTGCTGCACTCCAGACAGCCCGTACCCCAGCAGACCGTCAATGGTCATTTCAGACAGCTGCTGCTGCTGCTGCTGCTGCTGGTTCAGTGGTGCCTCTGCTGCGCCTGTCTGCACTTGCTGCTGCTGCTGCTGCTGCTGCATCGTTTTCTTCTTGAGCGTCGTCTTCTTCTTGCCTGCCGCCTTGCTCTTTGCCTTCACCACCTTCTTCCTCCCATCCCCATCCATCTTCTCTAACCTCATTCCCATCTGCTTCTGCTGCGCTTTCTTCTTCTTATTCTTCTTCTTCTTCGTCGTCTGGCTCTGATCTTGGGGCAGCTTGCTCGTTTGCCCGGGCACCTTCTTACCTTGCTTCTTGCCCTTCTTCAGCTTACTTGGTCCTTGCAATTCTGAAAATAGAGAGACAGGAAATAGAGGAGGGGGAGGGGGAGGGAGAAGGAAGAGACAGAGCGGGAGAAGGGGGGTTGATCATGAGGAGGGGGGGGAGAGAGGTAAGGGGGGAATGAAGCCCTTGAGCAACAGTGTGTCTGTCGAACATAGGTGAAATGGAAGCCCCATTCCATTCTTACAACGCACACACGCCAACAGCACCAGCCTAAACAACCCCATCCCGTACTTCGTTTCACAGCACCCTTCTCGTCCTCTTTCTCCTCCTCCTCCTCGTCCTCCTCCTCCTCCACGGCATCCCCAGCCACGGCACGGCGGTACTGGGCGAGCGGGTCCCAGGCGTGGAAGTGGCCGAGGCGGCGGTACTTGAGCAGCCCGCGGTGCAGCGAGGTGGGTGGCACGGCGTTGAGCTTGGTCTTGTGGAAGTGGTGCTGCCGTGCCACCTCCGCCACGCGGGGGCTCGGGTCCAGACACAGCGGTGGCTGCACCGCCCTCAGAATGCGCGCCTCCACCTCCTGGCGGGGGGCAGAGGGCGGGAGCGAGGGAGCGAGGGAGCGAGGGAGCGAGGGAGGGAGGGATGGAGGGAGGGAGGGAGGGAGGGAGGGAGCGATGAGCCCATGGCATAGCAAGGGTCCTGTGGAAGTGGTGCTGCCTGCCAGGCCACCTCGAGCACTCTGGGCCAGACACAGGGGGGCTGCACCACCCTCAGAATGCGCGCCTCCGCCTCCTGGGACGGGCAGAGGGAGGGAGGGGCTGGGGAAGAATTGGGTGCGGGAGAGCGAGTCAAAGGATGAAAAGAAAGAAATTATCAAAAGAACGCAGCATCATGGCTCTGAAGAATCCCTATCAGCATGTCCTGGTGGCACGCGCACATACCAGCATGTCCTGGTGGGACGCGCACATACCAGCATGTCCTGGTGGCACACGCACATACCAGCATGTCCTGGTGGCACACGCACATACCAGCATGTCCTGGTGGCACGCGCACATACCAGCAGCACATACTAGCAGCACGTACCAGCATGTCCTGGTAGGACCAGGAGGCGTCAGCCATGGCGGCCACGTCCTTGGCGATGCTCTCGGACGTGGGCCTCAGGATCACGCGGCACGTCCTCACCGGCCCCCCGCCCGCCTGGGGGCCCGCTGCCTCCACTGCCGCCGCTGCTGAGCACCCAGGGGGGATCTTCGCCATGCTGTCGCCCAGACACGTGGCCAGCTCGCGGTAGTCACGCACCTGATCACAGGGGGACGAGGGGGGAGGATACTATGTGGATGCCACATGCTGTAGGAATAGCTAAGACGAAACGGAAGCACGGTGATTCGCTGAATGCCACATGAAACCAGCAACCCGGTTGTACCTCGCACGCCACACAGCCGTTGCGATAGATGCAGGGGATGTCGTGCAGCAGGTCCCCCGGCAGATGGCCGGTGTCGATGGCCTGCACGCACGAATGCATTGATGAAGGTAACGGTAACAGTCAACTCACGGTGCGCCTCAACTCATGCTTGCTCTGACCTCAAGCACGACGGGAAAACGAACATGAACTAGAAAAAAACAGAGAAAAGAAACAAGCCGAAACATAAAAGCCAGAGACACCAAACCGGCAGAGCGAGGTAGTGCTGCATTACGCACATGATCGCCGACCAATTTTCCCCGAGCTTAGGGTCACCTGAAGGAAAGACTCGGTGGAGCGGTCGTACGGGTAGAGCTTTGCAACAAGCGCTTCAGGCAAGCGGGGAGGAGGCCGGCCGTCCTGCGAGTTGTCGGGCCACGCGGGGAGAGAAGAGAAGACACAATCGTGGGGATATGATCGCCCCAACGTGATGGACCTAATCGGAAAAAGACAACTGACGACATCAAACAGTGGAAGTGCAGAGGGGGAGAATCTATAGCCTGGAAGACGGCCACAGGTGCGACCTAGTGCGTTGACATAAAAGACAGCCGCTCAAGCGACATAAGGCGGCCGAAGCATATAATCTGAAGCACTAAGGGCGCGGAACATTGCGCCTGAATAACCCAAATCAATCCCGGCCTGGAACATATTTAGGGGCTGAGAAAGGGTGGAGTGCGGTACAGATGACTATGACGTGGTAAAACACGGTAGTCAACGAGGTCCAGGAAGCGACCTTGCGAGTTGATCGCTATGTTCCACGTCCTAAGCAGGTTCACTTGTCGGGTCACACGGACTTGAACCAGGGTGCAGCAGAGCAACGTCTGGAATGCTTCCAACACCGTGGTAGCCTACGTGTTAAAGCTGCTTCGAACCTGCGTAGGAACGTCGATAGAGAACCCTTCGGGAAAGACGTTGAGAGCGAAGGAGCAAGGCATCTCCCCGACCACGCCAGGCTCCCACACTCCTCGCCCACCCGATGCTGTCGCCATGGACTCGCTAGCCGCTTCGCTGTTTCTTCCACTGCAACCCTAGTTTGCGTGGCAACAGCTGAAAGCTAGTCCTAGAAAAGCGGTCTCACCCGAGTGCTTGTCTTGTCGAGGAAGAACCCAGAGTGCCAGCGCGAACATTGCCCTACACGCACAAGGTTCTTACTGCTGCTCCGACCATCACACTGATCTGCGTGTAGAAAATGATTGTGCATTTGGAGACAAAACGACCACTTTCTAAACCATTAATATTCTCTCCCTCCCATTTGCCAGTTAAATATTCTAGGGGATAGATATATATTTATGGGTTGCGTAGCAATCCTTTAAAATCGTTCAGTGCACCAATTGTGCACTGCAGTTTTTCCTGGTCGGCATAATTGTCAAACACATTTGAGTGTGTTGCTCTATACCATATAGGGTTGTGCCTTAGAGAGTACAACCCACTAGGCTATAGTCCCTTGTACTCACACATTCTAGTTATTCTTTCAGTTTAACATGGTATCTGTTGGAAATATCTCAAAGGACTTCAGCGTTTCTGAAGTGTAACACTACACTCGAGGAAGATCGCAACGGGTATGCGAGTCAACGGAGGTTACACGAGGGGATGGACAAAGAACGCGAAGGGACTCGAAGGGTCGCAACTGGAGGTTGCGACTGACCGTTACAACAGCACGGATGGTAACCGAAGCGACAATCGAGTCGCTGTGCGACTCGATAATCGCTCATGCAACTGTATTCTACAACTGCTTTACTTTCCTATTTTCTATATATTGCTGTATGCTTGTTTCTTTAATCAATCACTTGTTCTCATATACTAGTACAAGGATTCAACTACTCAACTTCCACTGCACTACTCAAGTCTTTTACAACTGGGACTTAGTCTCTGGAAAGATCCTAAGGGCTTTTCTCAGCCCAACATGGTATGAGAGCTGGTCAGAGACCAAACTCCCAACAACTACGCTCTATCTACAATTTGCAATTCAACAACTTCATTGATTACGAGTCATGGACAGCAAGGGCAAGAAAATCTCTACGGGCTCACCCAGCGCCCAAGACACTCAACCCGGCAACTCTGGATTGCACACTTCAGGACTGCAAACCGAGACCGGCGCTGCTCAAGAAACAACAGGAAGAGCTCCAGAAATGGTGACCCCATCACCATCTTCAAGCGTGGATCCGAACCTTATGGAAAGGTTCTTCAGCTTCATGTCGCACTTCGACCAGCAGCAGCAGACAAGGACACCTGCGCATTCAACACAGAGCAACGGAGGAAACATGGGATTAGCGCCGATGAGCCTCGACAATTCGTCGTTCGGGCGACACAATCAAGCGCCTACCTTTGCGCCTTATCACTCTTCACCGGGGACATTCGAGTTTATGCCGCCCCGTGCCCAACCAACAGCAGCTGCATCACAACAGACACCAAACGAGATTTTGAGTCTCCAGGCGCAGTTTTCACACGTAATCAAGTTACAGACATCCTCACCATTCAACGGACACGATTTCTTTACCTGGAGTTTTGAGTTCGAGCTGCTGATGGAGGCTGCGCATCTCTTGGGATACTTCAACGGGTCCCTGCCATTCCCAAGCAACGGCACTGGAAAGGAGCAAGAAATCTTTACGTATCAGTCGCTGTTGGCGTACACAGTTCTTTTGCGGAACCTGTCACCACAAGAACAGCAGAGCATCAGAACGTATCGGGGCTATGGAAACTCCGCGGAACTCGCATGGCATCATCTCAAGTGTCTCTATCAAGCAAACGACAGCGTGACACAAAGCAGACTCATGCAACAACTGACAACAATACAGATGAAGACCGGGGAAAAAGCGATGCAGTATATGAGTCGATGCCAGACCCTCCGCGACCGCCTGCTTCGGTGCGGAGGAACAATCACTGAAGAAAGCTTCGTGACGCTTGTCCTCGCCGGGCTCGGGCCAGAATGGAGAACCACACGCTCGCTTCTTCGCGCCCACGGAAGAATCTCGGAAATGCACCTCTGCGCCGAACTCCATGCTGAACAACAGGAGATGGACCTGTTCGAAGAACGACAACCAAGGAAGCAGCAGCAGTTAGTTTTCTACACTCAACGAAGGAACGACAACAACTACAATCGACGCGGCAAGCAAGATCAACGCGAAAACAGAGGACTCACCATCGTGCCGCCGTTCTGCCACAACTGTCAAACATCCGGACATTCCAAAGTCAACTGCACACGTCCTCGTGTCTATCGTCCAGTAGACCCACAAGTCGCTTCCACTCAAGAAAGCCCTCCAAGGCGTTCTTCCACATCTGCACAAGGGACACCGAACATCATCAATTGCATGGTACACATCGTCAACTGCGCACCCGGATCACCACCCACTTACGCGCCAGACGAAGAAGAATTTCCGCCGCCACGCTCACAAGGACTTCAGGTCAACCCGACATATGCTGCGGTCGCCAACGCCGAACCCACCGGGCGAAACACCTGGTTCTTGGACAGCTGCTGCGGTCAACACATGTGTTCTTCCGGACGCTTCGTGCAACAAGAGCGACGCCTCAACCGCGACGTCATCATCACCGTCGCCAACAACGAGAACCTGAAAACAAACAGACAAGGAGTGGTTCAGTTACAATCCATGGAGACAAACGTTATACTTCAACTCAACAAGGTCCTCATCGTCGACAACTTGGGATACAACTTACTAAGCGTCAGCCAGCTAATGGCAAAAGGCATTCACCTGGAGTGCGACTCGGACTCCAACGAGTTTTGCCTTTACCACGGAAAGGGCGGCCTCTTCATCGGTCGTGCTCTCCTGAAGTCAGGCGTCTTCGTGTTGGACTTCGTCCCCGACCGCGGTACTGCCGACAGTGATGGCATCGTGTCGTTCGCCGCCTGGACACACCCGCCGGATCTTGACCCCGACTTCAACCCCGACGGATTTTGGTACTCCAAAACCATACCTGCAGCAGAGAGAACACGAGCGTTAGCAGCCATCAGACAAGAAAGACAAGTACCAGCAAGCATCCCTTCCCAGACATCACCTACAGTAGCAGCAGCAGGACCCAGCCAAGTACCATCACCAGCGATCCGTGGACTGCCAACCGAAGCAGATCAACTTATGCCCATCACACGCGAAGTCTGCCGAAGTCCCGCCACGGTCGTCGCGTTCTTCTCCAACGCCAACATATACCACCGCTCGCCCGGCCATCGTGCTCCCGACGACATCTGGCACCAACGTCTCGGACATCCTGCAAACGGTACAATACTGCAAACCATCCAAGCCGAAGTGTTAGAACGTAACGCCCTTCTTACAACAAGCGGCCAAGAACTTCGACGACCACGCGCACGGTGCTTTACGTGCCCCGAGGCCGATCTTCCCCACCAGCCTTTTCCATCCCATCACAACCCAAGCGCACCTGCATACGCACCGATGGAAAAAGTCTACAGCGACATTTTAAACATGCCACGAGAAGACACTGAAGCCGACTTCAACTATGTCATCACGTTTATCAACGCAGCAACAAGATACGTCTGGCACTACAACCTCAAGACGCGCGATCAAGCCTTCGACGCCTTCACGACATGGCTCCCCATCGCCGAACGAGAATCAGGAACCAAGCTCAAAAGCTTTCAGTCAGACGGTGCACTGGAATACCAGTCACAACGCTTCAGGACCTATCTGGCGGAAAGAGGAATCAGACGCCTGGTGTCTCTGCCCTACGCTCACCAGCAGCAGGGGGTCGCAGAACGCATGAACCGGACCTTGCAGACGACGATGCGAAAGCTGCTCCTGGGGATGAGACTTCCCACCACACTGTGGCCAGACGCGATGACACATGCAGTCCACCTGCACAATCTGTTGTCCTCGTCATCACTTCCCAACAACGGATCACCGCACCTGCTGTGGACACGAAAAAGAGGCAGCACAAAATTACTCCGGGTTTTCGGCTGCATGGTACAGTACAGACCCCACACAGCCCGAGCAGGACGATTCACTCAACGAGCACGGTGGGGATTACACATCGGCATCGCAAAACATTTTCAAGCATGGAAAAATCTCGACATACAAGACAAAAATACCGTGGCACACGTGATGTGATCTTCTACGAAAGACTGACGCTGCAGCATTACCTGGACAACGTCGCCAACACGGACGACCCCACCGACGGTGTCGCAGGCCTTCGCTCCTTCGCCGACCGTGCTGCCGAGGCTGACGCAGCAGAAGAAGATGTACCTGGAGCCTCGGACGCTGTCGGACCACTCCCTTTCTGTTCCGTACCTGTTCCACTAGACGAAGACAATCCTCTCGATAGCAACAACCTCGACACATTTTACCACTTCGCTGACCAAGGTTACGTTACACCCCACCCGGTCGACACTAATGTTTCAGAACGCATCGGCCCAAACTTCTTACCAGATCCAGAAGATGGTGACGAAGCAGCCTATTCCGGGAATGAAAATTCCCCTCGACACACACCCACGGGACTGCAGATCCTCGGCCTATGGGTCTCTGTCCAGCATCCGCCGCCGCCATCTCCGCGCGAGCCCTTGACTCTGTCGCAGGCTCTGGGGGGGGAACACAAGGCGAAATGGAAGGAGGCAATGGAAAAAGAACTAAAAGCTCTACAAGACCGAAATACATGGAAGTTGGTACCTGCAACGAACATCAACGGGAAGAACGTCCTCTCGGGAAAATGGGTGTACCGCATCAAGACCAACGCGGACGGCTCCATCGAACGATTCAAAGCTCGATGGGTCGTACGAGGCTTCGATCAATGATACGGAACCGACTACACAGAAACTTTTGCCCCAGTCTCCTGTCACACCTCCCTGCGCATCCTACTCGCCGTCGCGGCCACGAAGAAACTACCACTGCGCCAAATCGATGTCGCAAATGCTTTCCTGTACGCACCTGTGGACGCCGAGATCTTCATCGAGCAGCCCCACGGATTCATCGACGACCCTACAAAAGTGTGCCAGCTGATAAAATCCCTCTACGGGATCAAACAAGCTCCGCGGCTGTGGCAGCAGCACCTTCACGGTCGCCTCATAAAAATCGGATTCCTACAGCTGCCGCATGACCAAGGCATGTACCGACTGCAGAAGGGAAGAGAGTATATCCTACTCATCGTTTACGTCGACGACCTGCTCTACATCGGTTCCACTACCGACATCGCCACCTGGTTCGAAGGGGAGCTGAAAGAGGACTTGACACTCACGGTGTCCGACGCAGTGACCCAGTACTTGGGACTGAATGTCGTCGAAGACAACTCGGCGTTCTACCTACACGCTGGAAAGTACGCAGGCACTGTCGCGAAGAAATTCGGTCTAACGCCGACTACGGTCCCGACTCCCTACCGCTACGGGAACAACAACAGCACCTCCGCGAAACTCCCCGCGAAGCAAATCCAGGAGTATCAACAGAAGCTCGGCTGCCTACTATTCGCAGCAGTAACCTGCCAACCCGATCTCTCTTATAGCGCGAGCCAACTGGCGACGCATCTGAAGCAACCGGAACAAGAAGATCTCGAGGAACTTAATCGGGCACTACTCTACTTCGTCTCCACGCCGACGACCGGGCTCACCTACAGCAAAGTAACGACACCGTCCGTACGACTACTCGGATACGTCGACGCCGACCACGCGGGAGACAAGGAAAACCGACGATCGAGAACGGGCTACGTCTACCGACTAGAACCTATCGGGACTATCTCCTGGCAGTCGAGCAAGCAGGAACTAATCGCACTATCTTCGGCTGAAGCAGAGTATATCGCCCTCTGTACTGCGACCAAGGAAGGACTCTACCTATGAGAGTTACTCGAGGAAGCGAAGATTGCGACCCTGCCCGTCTTCTCACTCCTCTGCGACAACCAATCTGCGATCAAAATCGCGAACAAGGACGGCTTCGCCAACCGGACCAAGCACATCACCCTGCGGTACTTCTTCGTCAACGATGAAATCGCGAAGGGAAGACTTCAACTCAGTTACTGCCCGACGACAGAAATGGCCGCAGACTATCTGACGAAGAAATTGGTGAAGGCAAAATTCGATTACTGCACGTTGCTAACCGGGCTGACAAACGTCACCGGATCTGAACACGTCAGCACTCCAGAAACGAAGGGGAGTGTTGGAAATATCTCAAAGGACTTAAGCGTTTCTGAAGTGTAACACTACACTCGAGGAAGATCGCAACGGGTATGCGAGTCAACGGAGGTTACACGAGGGGATGGACAAAGAACGCGAAGGGACTCGAAGGGTCGCAACTGGAGGTTGCGACTGACCGTTACAACAGCACGGATGGTAACCGAAGCGACAATCGAGTCGCTGTGCGACTCGATAATCGCTCCTGCAACTGTATTCTACAATTGCTTTACTTTCCTATTTTCTATATATTGCTGTATGCTTGTTTCTTTAATCAATCACTTGTTCTCATATACTAGTACAAGGGTTCAACTACTCAACTTCCGCTGCACTACTCAAGTCTTTTACAACTGGGACTTAGTCTCTGGAAAGATCCTAAGGGCTTTTCTCAGCCCAACAGTATCATGAGTAGGTTAGGTCCCCACCGCCCATCCACGCTTCCGCCGTAGGTCCTAGCCATCCCGCCGCCTGCCCATCCACGCCGGCCCGTTCTCCTTAGCCATCCCCGTTGCGTAGCCAGCCCCATCCCGTAGCCGGCCCCGTCCCATAGCCGGCCCCGTCCCGTAGCCGGCCCGTTCCCCTAGCCGGCCCGTTCCCGTAGCCGGCCCCGTCGCCTCGTCGACCCCGTCGCGTAGCCGCCCCCGCTGCGTAGCCGACTCCGCCGCGTAGCCGACTCCGCCGCGTAGCCGACTCCGCCGCGTAGCCGACCCCGCCGCAGAGCCGGCCCTTGCGCGTCGCCGATCCCGCCGAGTCGCCGACCCTGCCGTGTCGCCGGCCCTGTCGCCACGCCGGCCCCGTCGCCTAGCTAGCCCCGTCCCCTCATCGGCCCCGTCACCTAGCAGGCCCCGTCACAGAGCCGACCCCGCCAAGTGGCCGGCCCCGTCACCTAGCCGGCCTCGTCGCCTAGCCGGCCCCGTCGCCGCGTCGGCCCCGTCGCCTAGCCGGTCCCGTGTCGCCCAGCCGGCCCCGTCGCCCAGCCGGCCCCGTTGCCCAGCCGACCCTGACGCCCAGCCGGCATGGTCAGTGGGAGCAGTCTTGATGCAAGACCAGGGGAAAGGACTGCAACCAATTGCCTATCTCATCAAGAAACTACACGGGGCAGAACTAAACTACCCGATACACGGCAAGGAGGCCCTTGCTATTATCATTGCCTTCAAAACGTGGAGATGTTATCTCGAAGGACGAAAAACAACTGTCTACACCGACCACTGCAACCTGAAATATTTGAAGACACAACCAAACCTCTCCAGGCGGCAGGTCCAGTGGATTGACTTCCTCGAGACACACTTACACCATGACATCATGTACAAGCCTGGCCACAAAAACAAAGCAGACGCTCTCATTCGGCCTGCACACGTTGCCGCAATCCAGGTCGAAGGAATGAACCGACTACTCAAGTTCACCAGCAAGTTTTGGAAGGAACTTATGTCTCTGTTCGGGACCAAACTCGCCATGTCATCCGCCTACCATCTGCAGACAGATGGACAGACCGAGTGCCTCAACCAAATTGTAGAGCAACTCCTCCGCGCAGCATGCAAAGGCGAAATCTCTAAATGCGACTTGCATCTGCCCGTCCTGAGTTTGCCTACAACAACGCCACTTGCGCCGCTACTGGACAGACGCCGTTCTTCCTCTGCTACGGACGCCACCCGCTCACGCCACAAAAACCGATAGCATCAGCCACAGTCCAACCCGCATACGATTTGATCACGACCATGCATCAGCTTTGGGATCGGACCCACAAGCGCCTCCTCGACATTCAGCAGCAACAGAAGCGCCAGGCCGATCGTCACCGCACTGACCACACCATCACCGTAGGAGACTAGGTTCTACTCAACATCAGTCATCTCCCATCCAAACTACGACCTCGCTTCTGCGGGCCCTTTCTCGTTGAAGCACATGTCACTCCTGTTACCTTCCGCTTACGCCAGCCAGCTACCTGGAAGATTCACAACGCCTTTCATGTCCAACTTCTGAAGCCATATCGAGATCCGAACACGGTCTTCACCGGACACCACCCGTCGCCGCCACCGCCCGTCCTCGTCCACGATGAACCCGAGTACGAGGTCGAGTCCGTGCTCGCACACCGTCGTCGTCGGGATGGCGATGGGGAGCTTCTTATGTGTTGGAAGGGTTTTGATCATTCTGAGGATAGTTGGGTTCCTGAATTTGAGATGGGTAATGCTCATCGTCCGCTTCGCGACTACCTTGTCAAGCAGGGTGTTACTTCTACCACCAGCTTTGAGAGGGGGAAGTGTGAGAGTACGACCCCGTTACACTTCTTTCTCATTTCCATCTTTGTTCTCTATCTCGTTCTTCTATTTATCCAGATTTCTTTTATCTTTATCTTTATTCCTATTCCTCATTTTTTCATTATCCTTTTGGTTATCCTATTATTATAATTATATCACCGACCAGGCTCGGGATGTACTGGCGCGCTATATCCAGCAAAATCCTGCCGTAATCCTTAAAAAGTCAATAGCCGCGCGTGGCTATACGCAGGGTGATTCTATTTTTAGAAGGGTCTATTCCTTTTGGATAGGATAAACCGGGTTACCAGATGTACCTTGGAAGAATAAAAGCGCCTTCTATAAATCGATAGTGCAACTATTCCTCGACACATTCGACCCTGTGACAGCCGTGGTGCGGTTGGAGGTTCTGGTGTGGGCACGGAGTAGCAGAAGCAGCAGCAGCAGCCGCAGTCATCGCCGGTGTCCGCCCTTCGCCTTCTCGGTCTTCCCTCCCCCGACCGGCCGCTCGTGCCTCCTCCGCCTGTCTAGGACCCTTGTATTCTCCGCTGGACTCGTCTTCGGCTTGTTTTCCCTCTTGTTCTCCTCATGTGTCTCCTCCTGTGTATCCTGACCCGGCGCCTCCTTCCCACTTCTGGTCTCGCCGTCCCTCTCGTGCTCGTCCTGTTTCCTTGGTTCAGCGTTCTCACCCTATGTTGCTCTGTTCTCACGCGTCTCGTGCTCCTCTTCTCCTGTCGCCTCCTCAGTTGTCCCTTGTTGTCTCGCCGCCTCCTCTCTCTGACTTCTTCGTGCTGCTCGTCCTCTTGTCCCTCAGGTCCTCGTCTCCCTTGTTACAAACCCATCCGTTCCTATCTCGAGTCTCGACACTCTTGTCGCCGTCGTTACTGACTTTGCCTTAACCTTGCCCGTCCTCCGTCCCTCGAGGGTGCACCTACCCTTGGCAATGACGTCCTAGAGGACAGGAAGTACGACCTAACTTTCCTGTCCGAGGCCGCTCCTCATCTCTGCTCCATGCTGCTAGTCCCTGAGGGTGACCCAAACGCCCTTGACATCCCAACCCCTCGCACTTACGCTGAGGCGACCTCAGGACCCTGGGCGTCTCAGTGGATAGTTGCCGTGGAGGCGTAGATGGCATCTTGGAGATCCACCTGCACCTACAGTACCTTGATGCAGTTCCCCCACCTGGGGTGAACGTAGTCGATGGCCGGGGGCTCTTCAAGGTGAATCGCCCTCCTAGAGAGCCGCCAGTATTCAAGGTGCGCTACGTTGCAAGAGGATTCAGTCACCGCGAGGGTGTTGACTTCGTTCAGACCTTCGCCCTGACCCCGAAGATGACTACTCTTCGGGCGCTGCTACACGTAGCAGCGCAACGTGACTACGAGCTGCACTCTCTCGACTTCTTGAGAGCGTTTCTTCAAGGCAGCTTATACGAGCAGGTCTACGTGTGCCATCTACAGGGCTTCACCGGTACCTTCCCTCCTGGGACCCAGTGGCTCATCAGGCGCCCGGTCTACGGCCTGCGACAGGCACCCCATAAGTGGCACAACACGTTGCGTGTTATGCTTGCTAACCTTCAGTTCTTCCCGTTGTCTACAGACCCCTCGCTCGTCGTTCGTGCCGGCCAGACTCCATTGTACATCCTTGTCTACGTAGACGACCTGGTCTTCGCTACTGCAGACAAAGACACACTGGCCTCCGTGAAGGCCGAGCTGCTGAGGAGACACACCTGCACTGACCTAGGAGAGCTGCGTCGCTACCTTGGGCTGCAGATCTTCAGGGATAGAGCAGCGCGCACCACCACTCTCACACAGTCACACTTGGTGCGCCAGGTCCTTCAGAGGTTCGGTCTTCAGTTCTCCTCAGCCCAGCCCACACCTCTACCAGTGGATCACAAGCTCTTGGCTCTAGTTCTTGTGGAGTCGTTAGAGCCTAGTGGTCCGTACATAGAGCTGGTGGGTTGCCTCATGTACCTGATGACTTGCACTCGTCCAGATCTGGCATACCCTCTCAGCATCCTGGCTCGCTTTGTGGCGACAGGCAGATACCGACCACAGCACTGGTCGGCAACTAAGAGGGTTTTGCGTTAGCAAGTACATCGGGCATGGGGCTAGTGCTGGGAGGACGCAGGCTGGTGGTCCTGATAGGGCACATAGACGCTTCGTGGGCCGACGACGCAGAGACGCTCAGGTCCGCTCAGGGCTACTGCTTTAGCCTTGGTGCAGGCGCTGTCTCGTGGAGGTCCACCCGCTCGTCGTCTGTTGCACAGACTAGCTGTGAGGCCGAGATCTACGCATGTTCCATGGCGGCATAGGAGCTCCGCTGGCTGACGTTCCTGCTCACAAACTTAGGTGAGCGGCCTAGCTCTGCCGCGGTCCTGTACGCTGGCAACATGGCCATGATCCTCCTTTAAGAGGAGCCTCGACTTGAGGGCAGAACGAAGCACATCCAGCTGCGGTACTTCCTCCTGCGCGAGCTACAACAGCGTCGCCATGCCCACGTAGTTCACTTGGCCTCCGGTGCCAACGCAGCTGATATCTTTACCAAGGCGCTTGCGCCTAAAGATCATCAGCGGCACTATGTACAGGTTGGTCTAGTTCCTATTGCTACTCACTTGCTAGGACCTTGATTGTGTACTCCTCTTTATATATACATTTTTGACTGACCTTGTGGCTTCTCTTCCAGTGGCCGGACTAGTAGTGCCGCCCTGGTTTGCTCTTGTCTTGTTTGTACTCTTGCTGATTGTTCTTCGGACCCCTACCTCAGAGGTTGGATAGTAGTGCCACCCTGAGCTGCGTGTTCCTTGTTCAGCACGGCCCCTTATCTAGCCTAGGGGGTGTGTCAACTTATTCATATGTTTATATATAGAAGTTATATGCTAGATAGGTTTGTGTTCTTAGAGGGTACAAATCCAACCCTATATCTTCCCTGTACTCACTTGTTCTAGATTATTCTGCGAAGTTAACACATCCAGCTGCGGTACTTCCCCCCACGCGAACTACAGCAGCGCCGCTAGGCCCGCATAGTTGACTTGGCCTCCGGTGCCAACACAGCTGATATCTTTACTAAGGTGCTTGCGCCTAAAGATCATCAGTGGCACTGAGTACAGCTTGGTCTAGTTCCTGTAGCTCCTCACTTGCTAGGACCCTTATTGTGTACTCCTAATATAATAAGAACTGGCCTTGTGGCTCTTGTTCCTGTGGCTGGACTAGTAGTGTTGCCCTGGGTTACTCTTGTTTAGTTTGTACTCTTGCTGACCGGTGTTTAGACCCTTGCCTCTGATGTTGGACTTGTAGAGCCGCCTTGAGCTACGTGTCTCTCACTAGGCACTGCCCCTTGTCTAGCCTAGGGGGTGTATCAATTTATACATTTTTGCATATGTAACAGTAATAAGCTAGAAGGGTTCGTGCAACAACCTGTCAAAACTAGGAACTAGAACGCCATGAAAGTGGCGTGAGGTTTTAGAAGCTAGGAGAATCAGGAGGGAGTGTTTGACGAGAGAAAAGAGTCTTAGATAAGAAGAGAGGGGGATACAAGGAGGGGTGTTGTACCCTCTACAGAAATGTTCAGTAATGTCTACCAAGCCAACAACTATATACTAATATTTTATAATTTAACACACCCCCTAGGCTTGGTAGCATAAGGACCCACACACCCCACACCCCCTAACCTAGCACCCCCATTCCTAGCAGCCACGACTACTCAAGCAGTGCCAACCCCAAGGCCCTGGAGATGGCGACGGCGGTAGTCCCGGCAGCGGCGACAGCGACGGCGACGGCGGCGTGCGGCGGCAACAAGCCTGCGGCGACGACAGCGGCGACGGCGACGGCTTCGGCTTACGACTCCGGTAACGGCAGCGGCCCCCGCCCTTTCGGCGGCGTGTCCAAACTCCGCGACAGGGGGACGACCGGCGAGAGTCAGGCGGCGGCTGTGGCGAAGAGGAGGAGACAGAGGGAAGGGGGAAGGGGCGGGGCTTCGGATCTTCAGCGCGGCGCCATTGCTGGCGCGGCGCTTACTGGTGTGCGGGCGGGCTGCAAATCCAGCAGCGACGCAGGTGGTGCGCGACGGCAACAGGCCGACGACACCGCCACGGCACCACTACGACGCCACCACAGCGTGCCGTCGGAGCCGCGGCTGCTCGTCGACGCTGAGACGACATTACACAGAGGTCGCCGCGGCATCTCGGAAAATGTGCCACGGCGGCAGGCAAACAGAAGGCCGCGACGGCGGCCAAGTAAGGATGAGTACGCGGCGGAAGCGTGGAGAGCAGGCCCGGGAAGTGCGTCCTGCTCTGAAACCATGTCAAAACTAGGAACTAGGACGCCATGAAAGTGGCGTGAGGTTTTATGAGCTAGGAGAACTAGGAGGGAGAGTTTGACGAGAGAAAAGAGAGTCTTAGAAAAGAAGAGGGGGATGCAAGGAGGGGTGTTGTACCCTCTACAGAAATGTTTAGTAACGTCTACCAAGCCTACAATTATATACTAACATATATAATTTAACACACCCAACCATGTATACTCATGTATCCCTCCTTTCTAGGCGATTTTGTTACTCTGAGAGCTTGGACTCCCGAAATTCAGAGCCCTACTCGATGTTAACGAGGCTCGATAAGGAAAAGGGTTTTTGCTTACGAATAAATAGTGAACAGTTTTATGAATGCGAAATACAAATATAGCGTGGTTGAGTTAGAACAATGTCGAGGCTATCAAAACAAGGGTATACATAACACTACTACTCTACGTCAGCTCGTTCTTTTCCTGTGCTCGCGTTGGAGGATGGAGGTGGGGGGTGCTGTTGCGGGGCAGCCGTTTTCTTTGAAATGCGTACGTGACATGATGGAGTTCGTCAAGCACGCGCGCAATCCCGACGAGCCCATGTTTTCTGCTGACTTGGATGATGATTCAACTCCAGCATGGCAGCACGTCAAATTTGACGAATGTCAGGGTAGTTCAGATACAGTACACGTGTTGCCACCCTGTATCACTTTCCCGCCTATCCTGAGATTGTCAGAGCAACCTGGCAGCACGATACTGTAGCTAGTCCTTGTTATGACATTCTCTGGGTGGATTTTGAAGGCATGCTCTTGTGTTCACATCTTCGAGGCTCACTTCACTCCAAGTTTCGTGCTTGTAGGTCCTCCAGACTTGCCTCGCACTCTTACTAATCCTGATTCGTCAGCCTTTGGACATGCGAACACCAGATGGTGGGTTGCGATCAACCATGGTATCAGCGGTCGGGTTCGTGCAGGCCCAACCACTTCCCTCGTGCCACTGATCGTTCTCCAAAGGCTGGCTGACGCGAGCGGAACGCCAGCCATGGCTTCGCTGTCACAGTCACAGCCGACTGCGGTGCTTCGAGCCGAGGCATTTAGGGTCAGACGTTGCGCCGTCCGTCATCCTCCCTGCCCACATTTTATCGTCTCTCCGTTCCTTCGCCCTCACACTTCTCCAAACCTCCCTGCGGCGCCGGTCTCCCCCCACTCCCTTTCTCCGCTGTTCATCGCGGTCGGCCGCTCTAGAAGAAGCCGGCGGGTGGCGGTGTCGGTGTCGGCCATTCACACGAGGCAGGATGGGAGGACGGATGCAGGAGCGGATGCGGGAAAGCCGCAAAGAGCAGCGCGAGGGAGCAAGGCGACGAGCGTGGCGAGGCAGGGAGACGGCGTGACGGGAAGAGGAACGCAAGTGAGCGGAATGCAGGGAGTCGGAGTGCGGGTTGCAGGGGGAAGCGGGGAGCAGGAGGGAGATGGAGCGGAAACCACAATGCAACGTCCGAGCGAGCCGAAGCAGCAGCAACGACAACAGCAGCAGCAGGAGCAGCAGTCACAGGGAGCACAGCAGTCGTCAAGCTTTGTTCCTTCAGTCGTGCGTGTGGCTGCTGGCAATCAAGGCGGAGCAGTTTCGTGGAAAAGAGCCACCTCGCTCACACGGGTAGCACCACTTAACCGAGTAGCCTCGCTAGGCTCGGGCGGCTTCCAGGGGTTAGGCTCGGGAATTCAAGGGCTAGGCTCGGGCATTCAGGAGATAGGCTCGGGAATTCAGGGGCTAGGCTCGGGTATTCAGGGGCGAGCGTCAGCAGTGCGCAGCAGGCTGCAGGGGAGCGCGATGGAGGTGGGGAGTCAGCTGCAGGGGCGGGCGTATGGCGTGGGCAGCACCATTCAGGACACGGCGGCGGTGGTGGGCGGGGCCATTCAGGGCAGAGCCGTGGAGGTCGGCAGCACGATTCAGGGCAAAGCGGTTGAGGTGGGCAGCACCATACAGGATACAGCTGTGGTGGTTGGGGGCGCTATTCAAGGGAAGGCAGTGGAGGTAGGGAGCACGATACAGGATACGGCAGTGGTGGTGGGCAGCAGGATCCAGGGCAAAGCGGTGCAGCTGCAGGAGAGAGCGGTGGAGGTGGGCAGCAGCATTCAAGGCAGGGCGGTGGAAGTGGGCAGCAGCATTCAAGGCAGGGCGGTGGAAGTGGGCAGCAGCATTCAGGACCGGGCAGTGCTGCTGCAGGGGAAGGCTGTGGAGGTGAGCAGCACGCTGCAGGACGTGGTGTCGGAAGTGGGGCAGGTGGTGACTGAGGTGGGTGTGACTATACAGGAGAAGCAGCAGGAGATCGCCAAGGTGGTGCAGCACACGGCGGAGGACGTGGAGAGGAGCCTGCCCCCGCCAGCGCAGGGCGCGCTGCGCACGGCGGGCACGGGCCTGCAGCACCTGGTGGCCGTGGTGGCGCCCGTGGTGGACCGCATCCCGGTGACCAAGGGGCAGCTGGCGGGGGCGGCAGTGGTGGTGGTGCTGTTCATCAAGGCGGTGGAGCAGTGGTGGTACCAGTTCCAGCAGGACTCGCGGTGAGTGGATGTCAGTGGGAGTGCCAGTGAGGGATGTCAGTGGGAGTGCCAGTGAGGGATGTCAGTGGGAGTGCCAGTGAGGGGTGTCGGTGAAGAAGCCAGGTGAGGGATGCTGGTGAGGGATGCTGGTGAGGGATGCTGGTGAGGGATGCTGGTGAGGGATGCTGGTGAGGATTGCAGGTGAGGGATGCACGGCACGCTCTCTGCCTGCATGCTTGTTCAAGTCAAACGCAATTTCCGTGCCTCTTGCTCGACCTCAACGGCTCACCTCTCCTTGACATCCCTCCCTTATCCCATTCCCCTCTGTTTCCGCTTTCCCTAACCCCGTCAACCCCCCAGGGGCTCGACTCACTTTGACATCCCAGAGCGCATTCGCGTGGAGGCCCCTTCCCCGCTGCCCCCTCCAGTTCCAGTGGCGTCCACGCGGCAGCAGGTGGACGTGCGGCGCAAGGAGCCCATGGAGTGGGTCAACATGCTGCTCAGGAAGGTCAGTCAACGCTGGTCAACGCCAGTCAACGCTGTTCAACGCTGTTCAATGCTGGTCAAGGCTGGGTGGATTGGCCTCGGCACCATGCGATTTCTCATGGCACTGACAGAATGCTCTGTCACACTATATGCCTAACCCTATCCCTGGCCCTTATGCTGCATGCCAGGTATTTCTTATTGCGTTTGTGAACCGACTCCCGAGCCCCATGCCAGGTACTCTGCATCTACCACACGGTGCTGGGGCGCCAGATGGTGCAGCAAGTGATTTTTGGGTCGATGCGAAAGTCACACATGTGGCATGCCTCATCACTATACGTGCATGCTGGCCCCCCATGCCTGATAAGCAGGTGTTCCGCATCTACCGCACGGGGCTGGAGCGGTGGATGGTGGGCATCCTGCAGCCCATCATCGACGAGACGCCCAAGCCGCGCTACGTGCGCCGCGTGCGCATCAAGCAGTTCTTCCTCGGGGACGAGCCGCCCTCGCTTCGCTCCATTGAGAGGCGCACCTCAAGACGAGGAAATGACCTGCAGTGAGTGCGGTGGTATGCGGCACTGTAATGGTAGCGTGCGGTGGTGCAGAGCGTGGTGCTATTAGGTGCGCTTGAAGCAGTTCTTCCTGGGGGACGAGCCGCCATCGCTGCACGGTCCAAGGTTGAGGCAATGGCCTGCAGTGAGTGCGGTAATGAGGTGCGTGGTTCGTCAATAGGCACACCTCAATATGGGGCACTGCCATGCCATGCCGCCCACATGATACCCTGCATGTGCTGCTGAAGCGCACTGGTCCCATCCTACCTCCTGCCAACGCATGCAGCGTTCCCGTCCCTTCCCATGCCGTCCATTCTCTTAAGCGGTCCTTTCTCTTTGTCTCTCCCTCTCCCGCCGCCAAAGGTACCACGTGGACGTGAGCTTGGAGCTGTCCGCCATCCCGCTCATCATCCCCATCCCTCTCCCCATCCCCATCCCCATCCCGCTCACCATCCCCATCCCTCTCCCCATCCCCATCCCCATCCCGCTCACCATCCCCATCTCCCTTCCCATCCCCACACCCGTGGATTCTCCCCCCTTCTGCCCGCAGGCACCACGTGGGGCTGCGCTACACGGGCGGCCTGCACATGCTGCTGGAGGTCCCTGTTGTCAGCAGGGGCCTCTCCGTCATACCGCTCACCATCCCCATCCCCATCCCCATCCCCGTCCCCACCCCCATCCCCATTCCCATTGGCTCTCTCCCTTCTGCCCGCAGGTACCACGTGGGGCTGCGCTACACGGGCGGCATGCGCATGCTTTTAGAGGTCCCGGTGGACGCCAGCATGGGGCTGTCCACCATCCCGCTGACCATCCCCATCCCGGTGGGCGTGCGCAACTTTGACATCGACGCGGAGCTGTGGGTGAAGCTCAAGCTCATCCCCGTGGAGCCGTGGGTGGGCGCGCTCACCTGGGCGTTTGTCACCATGCCCAAGGTCAAGCTCACGCTCGCACCCTTCAGAGTCGTCAACCTCATGGGTACGTGTGATGGGTGTCTGGTGTGGTTGGCACTGTGCGTGTATGTTATGGGTAGCATGATGTTGGGTGGGTGCACTCACATGGGCCTTCATCACCATGCCCAAGGTCAAGCACGCCCAAGGTCAAGCACGCCCAAGGTCAAGCACGCTCAAGGTCAAGATCACTGTGGCGCGCTTGAGAGTGGTCAAGCACACGAGTGAGTGAGTAGCATGGTGCGGCTCTCAACCTGCCTCCCCGCCATGCGTCTCATGCTGCCAGCTCGCTCTCAACTCAACATGTCGGCTCTGCTGTGTCACTGTACCTTGGCAGCTCGTGACTGCTTGCAGGGTGTGGGGAGCTTGAAGTGAGTTGAGCAATGCATCCCTTTGTTTCTTTGCGGCCCTCTCGTTGCCGTTAAGAGTCTTCCTTTCCTCGCGTGCCCCTCACCTCAACAAGGTGACTTTTGAGTCGACTCAAACCTTTCCTCGTGTGCCCCGCAACACCATACACCATGCCTCCCTGCCGGTGATCATCCCGGGCTCACCACACTGCCGCCACATCGCCCCGATAATGATGCTGGTATCGCCATCACCAAACACCATCATCACCGTCGCCATCGCCATCGTCATCAGCCATCCCCTTTCTCTCCAGGTGAGGCAAGGCGACACCCGTCGAAGAGTTTGAATTCACAGCAGGTTCCTGCGTGCCATGGTTGCCCTTTTCGTTGCCTGCTTGCGCGCTCCCGCTCCACCTGCGATGCCATCCTTGCACCTGCTGCTACCTTCCCTTCGTTCATGTTTCTGGCCAAGCTCCCATCCCGAACCAACCTCTACCTCACTCCACTCCTACCAACCATCTCCCGTCTCTCTTTTCTGCAAGTCCGCTTCTTCTTTCCTCTTTTTCCTGCTGCCATCCCTTCGCCCACCCCCGTTCTCCCAAGGGCCCCACGCATTGCAGCAGGCACCTGCACGCCCTGCCAGAGGAGGGCCTCCCACTCGCATCCTCCGCCCCAACCGATCTCCCCTCATGCTGCCTCTTTCCCAACTGAACCCCTCTTCCTCCCGCCCCCCCCGCCCACGCAGCTACCTGCAGGCCCTGCTGGCCGAGGAGCTCCCCAGCCACTTCCTCCGTTCCAACTCACGCTCTGCTGCGTGGATCTGCTCAACAACCTCCACCTGCCACTTCCTCCCCAACTCACGCCCTCTTCCCCCACACCCCCCCCTCCCCTCCCCCCACCCCCAATTACCAGCTACCTGCAAGCTCTTCTCACCGAGGAGCTGCCCAGCCGCTTCCTCCGTCCCAACAGCAAGCGTGTCGACCTGCTCAAGGACCGCCCGCTGCCGCCCGACCCCTCGCAGCGCGAGTTCCGCGAGGGGCAGGTGGCGGGCGGCACACTGGGGTTTGCAGGGGAGCTGCAGGTGACAGTGATTGCCGCCCAGCGCATCATCAACCTGCCGCTCGGTGATGCCTTGAGTCGAGTGCCCCTGACTTGTGGGAGAGGCGGGTGGGGGGGGGGGTGGAGCTCTAGATCACTGTTGTTGTTGTCGTTGCTCAACACATTATAAACCTGCCCTGGGGTATAGTCACCCCACATGTAGCCTCAAGCGATGTAGTCACACTCGATAGTGGGCGTGTTCTTCCATCCATCTGCCATCCCATCGTTTCCTTTTTTCCCCTCCCTTCCTGGTGGCAGCAACCCCTGTGTTCTGATAGAGTAGAACCAGCAAGGGGTGCGCAGCAAGAGCTACAGCAAAACACCCCTAGCGGGACCTTCCCTCATTTCCCATTCCCTCACCTTCCCCCCTCGTCTCCTCCAGGCGACAGCAACCCGTACGTGCTGCTGGAGCTGGGGCAGCAGGTGGCGCGCAGCAAGCGCAACAGCGAGACGTCGCTGGTGGGGCCGGCGGGCTACCCCATTTGGAACCAAGACTTCGTGCTGCTCGTTGTCGACCCCTCGCTGCAGCGCCTCTCCGTCAAGCTCAGGGGGTCGCTGGGGCTCTTCTATGTGGACTTTGGTCACGGCACTGTAAGGAGGGGGGGGAGGGGGGCGGTGTGGTTACCCCATTTGGAACCAGGGCTTCGTGCTGCTCGTCGTCCACCCCTCTCTGCCACGGTTGTCCGTGAAGCTGAGGGGCGATCTTGGGCTCTACTATGTGGGCATTGGGCATGGCACGGTGGGAGTACCAAGCTTTACCTCTTTTCTGTCAAGCCCCAGGTCTGTCTCGTCTCCCACCACGACACAGGACCAACGGGCGTGAGCGTGCCGTTGCTTCCCTCACTGCCCTGCCCCTCTCCCCCTCTGTGCGCCCGCTGCCCCTCGCCTCCCCTACCCCAGGTGCGCCTGGACTCGCTGCAGGACACGGTGCCCACGGACGTGTGGGTGCCGCTGCGCCTGCAGCTGCCGTTTGGGCGCAAGGCGTGTGGGCGGGTGAAGATGCGCCTCACGTACAAGGCGTTCGTGGAGGAGGAGGAGGAGCGGGACGTCGAGACCTTCGATCGGCCCTACAGCGAGGCGGAGAGTGACACAGAGGGCGGGGATGCGCTCGCTACCATTTCCCGCCTCAAGAGATTCGTTGCTGACGTGGCGGATTCTGCTGCTCCTCCGGAGCTTTTGAGGATCCTGGAGAACGTGAGGGTGGGCGAGATTCCGCGTGTCGTCGACCTAGAGCGACTCAGCAGTGACGTGGCGAAGCTGTCTGACCTGGCGCGTGCGCTCGAGGTGGCGCTGTTCAAAGACGTGAACCGATTGGCCGAGCTCCCAAGGCTGTCAGATCTTCCCAAGATGAAGGAGTTCTCCGTGCTTGCTGAGCTGGCGAGCATCCGCGCTGACATGGAACGACTGGCGCAGGCAGCGCGTGCGCTGGAGCTCGGTGCTGAGCTGGAGAAACGTGTCAAGGTGGATCTCTCCCGGATCGATCTTGACCTCTCGTCCGTTGATCTTCCCAAGTGGGACGAATGGATGGCTGTGCCGCGCCGAGCGCTGCCCCAGTCAAAGGATCTGGCGGAGCGATACCGCCTGCTGCTGCCGGATGGGGAGGAGAGGAGGAGGCAGAGGGCGAGGGAGGAGAGGGAGGTGAGGGGGGAGGGGGAGAGTGAGGATGATGAGGGGGATGGCGGGGAGGGGGGGAAGGGAGGGGGAGGAGGAGAAGGGGAGGGAGGGGGAAAGGGTGGGAGGGGTGAAGGGGAAGGGGGCAGACGGAGGGAGGGATGGGCGCGTGCATTGGGGAACGTGGGGGGAGGTGCTATGGTGTGGCGAGGTCAGCAAGGGGGTGGGGGGGTGGAGGGTGAGAGAAGGGGCAGAGTGGAGGAAGGAGAGGGAGAAAATAGGGGGCAAGCAGTGGGAGAAGGGAGGGGAGGAGGAGCAGGAGGAGGAGGAGGAGCAGGAGAGGGGTCAACTGGAAGGATCCGGAGGATACGGCGGGTGACACCAGCAGCAGCAGCAGAGGTCAAAGGCAGGAGAGCAGTGGGGAGGGGAGGTGCGAAAGGGGGAGGGTCTGTGGAGGCGTTTGAGTGGAAGGAGGCGCTGCGGGTGTTTGAGGACGTGTGGGGCATGATGGACGGCGCCGCCTCCGTGCTGCCCGGCACGCTCTCAGGCACACCCGCCCGCCCCCTGGGGACTGGTGCCCGGTCAGATACTCAGACACCGGCAGACGGCCCCCCTGGTGGCGCTGCTGCTGATGGCCGCAGGACGGGGGCGGAGGTTGCGGGGGAAGGGGAGAGGGAGGCAGGGGGCAGGGAGGGAGGAAGGCGAGTGATTGTAGCAGGCACGCTCAGAGGCAAGGGGTTGGGGGTGAGAGGGGCTTACATGGGGAGGAATGGGGATGGGGATGGGAGGACCGGGGCGACTGGGGAGAGTGATACGAGGGGTGGGGGTGGGGAAGGTTGGGCGGCGGAAGGGGGCATGGGCATTAGTGAGGATGGCACTTTGGGCGAAGTATTATTCAGTTCTGACGTGGATGGGGTTGGTGCCAGCGTGGCACCACGTGGAGCTGAGTCAGCAGCAACGGCCACGCCTGAACTGAAGGGGTGGACGTCCCCCTCCCTGCAGACTGCTGGGAGCGGCACTGGCGATGGGATTGGCGTGGGCGATAGGGATGGCCGTGCGGTTGGAGATGCGGTTGAGAGCGGTGCAATCGAGCAAAGGGGGAAGGGTGGAGCAGCAGGGACGGGTGGGAGAGGAAGGGAGGTGGGAGGGATGGGGCAGGAGGGTGGATCAAGCAGGGGGGAGAGGAAGTGGTGGAAGCTGTGGAGGTGAGAGGAGAGAGGGGGGAGGGGACGAGAGGAATGGAGAGGGGGGATGGGAGGTGCGGGATGGAGGAGAGGCAGTGGGCAGAGGGGAGGGATGAGTTGAGCTCATGTGGGCAACATGGTGTGGGTGATGCACGGGTGAGAATGGGACTCTGGGAAAGAGAGCAGCGGATACAGGGCTAGATCCAGGGGGGGAAGAGAGGGTGGGGAAGGATGGGGCAGGAGTGGGAACGGGGAGTGTCGAGGGACGAGATGGAGGGGAAGGGGAACCTGGTGTGGCTTCAGGTGAACTTGGTGTGGCTTCAGGTGAACCTGGTATGGCTTCAGGTGAACCTGGTGTGACTTCAGGTGAACCTGGTGTGGCATCAGGTGAACCTGGTGTGGCATCAGGTGAACCTGGTGTGGCTTCAGGTAAACTTGGTGTGGCTTCAGGTGAACCTGGTGTGGCTTCAGGTGACCCTGGTGTGGCTTCAGGTAAACCTGGTGTGGCTTCAGGTGAACCTGGTGTGACTTCAGGTGAACCTGGTGTGGCTTCAGGAGAACCTGGTGTGGCTTCAGGAGAACCTGGTGTGACTTTAGGTGAACCTGGTGTGGCTTCAGGTGAACCTGGTGTGGCTTCAGGTGAGCCTGGTGTAGACTCTGGTGGGCACGCTGACATTCAACTCTTTGAGGTTTGTATAGTATGGTATAGCTCGCTCTTACAGCAAGAAGCATGTTTTAACTAAAGTTCACAGGAAGCAGGAGTCCTAGAAGCTTTGGCGGTGTGTGTGTGTGCCGCCGCTGCATTGCATGCCCGAAGTCTCGGTCGCCCGGCAGGAGCAATGTGGGCTAGCAGTGATGTGCATGTGTGACACCGTGCCGTGTGGTGTGGTGCATACGAACCACTCTAGCAGCAATGTGAAACATTGGTTGGTAGGTTGGGACGGACAGTAGGTAGCGTTAAATTATATATGTTAGTATATAATTGTAGGCTTGGTAGACGTTACTGAACATTTCTGTAGAGGGTACAACACCCCTCCTTGTATCCCTCTCTCTTCATTTCTAAGACTCTCTTTTCTCTCGTCAAACTCTCCCTCCTAGTTCTCCTAGCTCCTAAAACCTCACGCCACTTTCATGGCGTCCTAGTTGTCAAACATGTGTATTTGTCATGTTTGTATAGACTAGACTGTATAGGGTAGACTCTTAGAGGGTACAACACTTAGGTATATCTGTGTGTACTCTCACTCTACCTATCATTCACTTCTCTAATTCTGATATGGTATCACGCGTAGGTTAGGATCCCCCCCCCCACCTACCGCTTCCGCTCGCCCCCTAGCTCGGCCCCGTCGTGCCCCTAGCCCCGTCGCGACCCCCCCCCCCCCTAGCCCCGTCGCGCCCTTCTTGGGCCCCGTCGCGCCCCTCCTGGGCCCCGTAGCGCCCCCCCTGGGCCCCGTCGCGCCCCCCCCCTGGGCCCCGTAGCGCCCCTCCCTGGGTCCCGTAGCGCCCCTCCTGGGCCCCGTCGCGCCCTCCCTGGGCCCCGTAGCGCCCCTCTTCGGCCCCGTCGCGCCTCTCCTGGGCCCCGTAGCGCCCCTCATGGGCCCCGTCGCGCCCCTCTTGGGCCCCGTAGCGCCCCTCCTGGGCCCCGTCGCGCCCCTCCTGGGCCCCGTAATGCCCCTCCTGGGCCCCGTAGCGCCCCTCCTGGGCACCGTCGCGCCCCTCCTGGGCCCCGTAGTGCCCCTCCTGGGCCCCGTCGCGCCCCTCCTGGGCCCCTCCTCGGCCCTGTCGTGCCCCTCCTGGGCCCCGTAACGCCCCTCGTGGGCCCCGTAACGCCCCTCCTGGGCCCCGTAGCGCCCCTCCTGGGCCCCGTCAAGCCTTCAGGCCCTGTCGCGCCCCCCGGCCCCGTCGCCCCCTGCCCGGCCCCGTAGCACCTGCCCGGCCACGTCGCACCCGCCCGGCCCCGCCGCACCAGCCCGGCCCCGTCGCACCTGCCCGGCCTCGTCGCACCTGCCCGGCCCCGTCGCACCCGCCCGGCCCCGTCGCCCTCGCCCGGCCCTGTCGCACCGGCCCGGCCCCGTCGCGCCCGCCCGGCCCTGTCGCGCCCGCCCGGCCCCGTCGCACCCGCCCGGCCCCGTCGCACCTGCCCGGCCCTGTCGCACCCGCCCGGCCCCGCCGCACCAGCCCGGCCCCGTCGCGCTCGCCCGGCCCCGTCGCGCCCGCCCGGCCCCGTCGCCCTCGCCCGGCCCTGTCGTACCGGCCCGGCCCCGTCGCGCCCGCCCGGCCCTGTCGCGCCCGCCCGGCCCCGTCGCACCCGCCCGGCCCCGTTGCCCCGGCCCGGCCCGTGCGCTCGTCCCTGCCTCGGCCCCTTCCTCCTCACTAGTACGGCCCCCCCCCCCCCCCCCCCCGTCCTGCACTGCCCTGCACCGTACTGCCCCGCACTTCACCGCCCCGCACCACACTGTACTGCCCTTCACCGCACTGCACCGCACTGCATCGCACTCCACCTTGCTGCACTGCCCTGCACCGCACTGCACTGCTCCTGATGGCGGCGGAGCTTCGCTTCGACGCTGAAGGCCAGCCTCTGGAGTTCGAGGCGTGGCTTGCCGACCTCCGCCGCCAACTCACTGGCCAGCGGCAGGATGGTGAACCGCTTTCCGCACACCTTGACGGTACGCTCCCCTGCCCAGACCCCCCTGCTATTCTGCCCGCTGACTCCACACCCACTGAGCGCGAGTCCACTGCTGCCACTGCCCGTGCGCGCTCTGTCTGCCTTTCTCGCGATGCTGTCGCCCAGCTTGCCATTAGCAACGCCCTTCCCCCGTTCGAGCGCCCTCGCTTTAGGTCCCTCACTACTGCTCAGGCATACTTAGATGCTGTCATCCAGCGCTATTCCACCCCTCCGGCTGCCTCGGTGGGTCGCCTGATCCTCCCGATGCTCTTTCCTGACCTTGCATCCTTCCCCACTGTCTCTGACCTCGCTGCCCACCTGCGCTCGATAGATGAGACCTGGCGCGCTGCCTGCACTGACGCACAGCTTAGAGCCCACCAGCCGCCCATTACCTCTACCCTCTACCTGCTTGCCACCCGCCTCCCTGACCGCCTCGCTGTCGCTCGCGACCGCTTCCTTAGCATTCACCCCGCAGACCTCACCCTCACTGACTTTGTAGACACCCTGACTGTGATAGAGACCCGTCACCGCTCCATCGCCCAGGCGAGCGGTGTCGTGCCGGTCCCTATCTTTCAGGGTTGTGCCCCCGCTCAGTGTACCTTCTCCGACGGCTCTACCGCCGTGGGTGAGACAGCTGCTGTAGCGCAGTTTCCTTAGGGGAAGGGCCGCCGTCCCAAGGTTGGGCGCGGCGGAGGCGGCGGCGGGGGTGCGGGAGGGGGTAGTGGTGGGGTCGGGTCGTCTGGTGCTGGAGCGCACGAGGGGACCCTGCCCTGTTCAGCTGAGCCGCCGCCCCTGCAGTTGCAGCAGCCGCCGCAGTCGCAGCCTTCGCAGCAGCCGCAGCAGCCGTCGCAGACGAGTGTCCTCCCGCCCGGGTGGCCAGGCGATGGCGGTGGCCGGGCACGTGGTGGTGTGCCGAGTGGTGGCCCTGGCGGCGGGCGTTGTCAGTACCAGATCCAGACCGGTCCTCGCCGCGGCTTCGTTTGCGGTAAGATCGGTCACTCCACTCCCCGCTGTTTTCGTCGCCTGGACGACCTCTTTCGTCAGCGCTTCGGCCCGTCGCCAGACCTCCCGGACTGGCACAGTTTGCTTAGTCGTAAGATTCAGATTTTTGATATGGACATGGATGCCATTGTTTCTGCTCTGCATGTCATGTATGCTGATGACTCTAGTGTGCTTCCCGCTTACTACTCAATGTTACCTAGTGTAGGTGTGCTTAGCTTAGCCTCCCCTGCTGCGTCAGGCGTAGGATCCCCTGCTTTGTGTAGTCTTGGTGCTTCCGCCGTCGTTCCGTCGCCAGACGCCTCTGCTTCGCTTTCCTTCACCTTGGACTCTGGCGCTTCTCGGTGTTTCTTCCGCGACTTCACCACCCTGACGCCGCTTCCTGTTCCTGCTGCCGTTTCTCTTGCTGACCCCTCCGGCGGTCCGGTAGTCGCCCGCAGTTCCACCACCCTTCCCTGTCCGGCGGTTCCTTCGGGCACTCTCACAGGTCTGCATATCCCCTCGTTCTCTAGGAACCTAGTTGGTGTCGGCTGCCTCCAGGACCTTGGCGTCACCACTACGTTCCCTGGTAACGAGCGGTATGCTGTCTGTACCGAGGCCGCCACTGGTGCCCCCCTGTCCACGTTCCCCCGGGACCCGGTGTCCGGCCTGTTCACTCTGGACACCGTGACCCCCCGGCTGGAGCGCTCACCCAGGTTGCTGCTGCCTGCTCCTGTCGCTCCCTCACTCACCCGACCCTCCTTTGGCACCACCGCCTAGGTCACCCTGCACTCCCGCGTCTGCGTCACATGTCCCAGCACGGTCTTGTCCTTGGTCTCCCAGGTTCCCTCCCCGCGTTTCCCTCCTCCCCAGCCCCACCTTGCACGCCTTGTGTCGAGGGTCGGCTTCGCCGTGCCCCTCACTCCTCCTCGTTTCCCCCTACCGCCGCGCCGCTGCAGACCCTGCACCTGGACGTCTGGGGCCCCGCCCCCGTCCCTGGGCCGCGTCGAGAGCGCTACTTCCTTGTGCTTGTCGACGACTTCACTCGTTACACCACAGTCTTTCCCCTGGAGCGCAAGGCCGACGTGCCTAGCGCTCTCATCCCCTGGCTTGTCTCTGCGCGTGTCCACCGCGGTCTCCATGTCTTGCGTCTTCACTCAGACCGTGGTGGCGAGTTTGCCTCAGGTGTCCTTGGTCGCTTTTGTCGTGCGGAGGGCATCACCCAGACGTTCACCCTACCGGACTCCCCACAGCAGAATGGGGTCGCTGAGCGACGCATCGGTTTGGTCATGGAGGTGGCTCGCACCTCCATGATCCATGCCGGTGCACCCCATTTTTTGTGGCTGTTCGCTGTGCGCTACGCTTCTCACCAGCTTAACTTGTGGCCGCACCCTCAGGAGCCGCAGGTTTCGCCGACCCGTCTTTGGACTGGGTCTCCTGGTGACGCGTCTGCGTTCCACGTCTGGGGCTGCCTTGCTCACGTCCGTGCCTCTGGCACGGACAAGCTCACTGCCCGCACCCTTCCCTGCGTCTTCCTCGGTCTTCCCCTTGACGCGTCCGACTGGCACTTTTACCACCCCCCGTCTCACCGCTTCTTTCACTCTCGTGACGTCACCTTTGACGAGTCCGTCTCCTACTACCGTCGCTTCCCCCACCGTGGTCCCCCGGTTACCCCCCCCCTGTTCCTGGTCACTCCTTCCCCGGTAGTCCCTGCCCCTCCTCCTCCTCCTCCCCGTCCCGCCCCCTCGGGTGTGTCCCACGTCACCCCCCTTCCGTCGGTGGACCCGGTTGAGGAGTCTTCTGACTCTGGTGGCCCTCCTGTTCAGTCCTCGCCAGCCGCCCCTCCCCTGGCGTCCCCTCCCCAGTCCCCTCCTCCACCGCCTCTGCCGCCGCTGCAGCCATCGTTGTCGCTGCCGCCGCCGCCGCCGCCGCCGCCGTCGCAGCACCCGTTCGCTGACTCTGGGGGTGCTCGTCCCGGTAGCCCTGGGGGTGGTCCCTCTGGGGGTGCTGGTGTGGAGCGCGCCGGTGGTAGCCGAGGAGCAGCTTGCGGTCCAGGTGTCGCCGTTGTGCCGCCGCAGCAGCAGTCCCCGCCGGTGTCAGCCCTTCGCCTGCTCGGCATTCCGTCCCCCGACCCTGCGTCGGTCCCTCCCCGCCCGTCTCCTCCTCTTCCTGTCTACGGCCCTGTTTTCCCTCCGCCGGACTCGTCCCCGGCCCGTCTCCCCCCTCGTTCCCCTCCTGTGTCCCCTCCTCTGTCTCCTGACCCGACTCCTCCGTCGCACGTCTGGTCTTACCGTCCCTCCCGTGCTCGTCCTGCCTCGCCAGTCTTGCGCTCCCACCCTATGTTGCTTTGTTCCCACGCGTCTCGTCCTCCCCTTCTGCCGTCGCCTCCTCCGTCCTCCCTTGTTGTTGCACCCCCCCCGCTGTCTGACTACCTTCGTGCCGCTCGTCCTCTTGTTCCTCGGGTCCTTGCCTCTCTCGTTACCGACCCGTCTGTTCCGGCCTCGTGCCTTGACGCTCTTGTCGCTGCTGTCGCTGACTTCGCCTCTACCCGTTGCCTTGACTACGCCTCCGCTCTGGTCTCTGACCCTGCCTGTCCTCCGTCTGTCGGGGGTGCTCCTGCCCTTGGCAGTGACGTCCTGGAGGACCGCCAGTTCGAGCTTGCTTTCCTCTCCGAGGCTGCTCCCCATCTTTGCTCCATGCTGCTAGTCCCTGAGGGTGACCCAGACGCTTTTGACATCCCGACCCCTCGCACTTACGCTGAGGCGACTTCGGGACCCTGGGCCTCGCAGTGGATAGCTGCCATGGAGCAGGAGATGGCATCTTGGAGATCCGCCGGCACCTTCGTCGACGCAGTTCCCCCACCTGGGGTGAACGTAGTCGATGGCCGCTGGCTTTTCAAGGTGAAGCGCCCTCCTGGAGAGCCGCCTGTCTTCAAGGCGCGCTATGTGGCTAGAGGCTTCAGTCAGCGCGAGGGGGTGGACTTCTTCCAGACCTTCGCTCCGACCCCGAAGATGACTACTCTTCGGGTTCTGTTACACCTAGCTGCTCAGCGTGACTACGAGCTTCACTCCCTCGACTTCTCCACTGCCTTCCTTCAGGGCAGCCTACACGAGCAGGTCTACCTGCGTCGCCCTCAGGGCTTTACTGGCACCTTCCCTCCTGGGACCCAGTGGCTCCTGCGGCGCCCCGTCTACGGCCTGCGCCAGGCTCCTTGTGAGTGGCACGACACTCTCCGTGCTACGCTTGCTGACCTGCAGTTCTTTCCATCTTCCGCAGACCCTTCACTCTTCGTTCGTGCTGGCCAGACTCCGTTCTACATCCTTGTTTACGTCGATGACCTGGTCTTTGCCACAGCAGACTGGGACGCACTGGCCTCCGTGAAGGCAGAGCTGCTGAAGAGACACACTTGCACTGACCTTGGAGAACTGCGCTGTTACCTTGGCTTGCAGATCTTTGGGGACAGAGCTGCGCGCACCATCACCCTGACTCAGTCACACTTGGTGCGCCAGGTCCTTCAGAGGTTCAGCCTTCAGTTCTCCTCTGCACAGCCCACCCCTCTGCTTGTAGACCACAGACTCTCCGCTCCAGTGCCTGAGGAGTTGGTAGAGCCCAGCGGCCCCTACGCAGAGCTGGTGGGTTGCCTCATGTACCTGATGACTTGCACTCGCCCAGATCTCGCATACCCTCTCAGCATCCTGGCTCGCTTTGTGGCCACAGGCAGACACCGACCGCAGCACTGGTCTGCCGCTAAGAGGGTTCTGCGTTATCTTGCTAGTACATCGGGCATGGGGTTAGTGCTAGGAGGACGCAGGCCAGTGGTCCTTACTGGACACACAGACGCTTCGTGGGCAGACGACGCTGAGACACTCAGGTCTACCCAGGGCTACTGCTTCAGCCTTGGCTCAGGTGCCGTCTCGTGGAGAGCTACCCGCTCCTCGTCTGTTGCGCAGTCCAGCTGTGAGGCTGAGATCTACGCTGGTGCCATGGTGGCACAGGAGCTCCGCTGGCTGACCTTCTTGCTCACTGACTTAGGTGAGCGGCCTAGCTCTGCCCCGGTCCTGTTCGCTGACAACAGGGCCATGATCCTCCTGTGTCAGGAGCCTCGACTCGAGGGCAGAGCGAAGCACATTCAGCTGCGGTACTTCCTCCTGCGTGAGCTACAGCAGCGACGTCAGGCTCGCGTAGTACACTTGGCCTCAGGTGCCAACACGGCTGATATCTTTACGAAGGCACTTGCGCCTAAAGATTATCAGCGGCACTGTGTACAGCTTGGTCTAGTTCCTGTAGCCTCTCACTTGCTAGGACCTTGACTTTGTACTGTCCTTTATATGTATACTCAGACTGGACTTGTGTCCTCTCCCAGTGGCTGGACTAGTAGTGCCGCCCTGCTACTGTTCTTGCCTTGTCTGTACTCCTTCTGACTGGTCTCTCAGACCCTTGTCTCAGAGGTTGGACTAGTAGTGCCGCCCTGAGCTGCTTGTTTAGGACATTCCCCTATGCAGTCTAGGGGGTGTGTCAAACATGTGTATTTGTCATGTTTGTATAGACTGTATAGGGTAGCCTCTTAGAGGGTACAACACTTAGGTATATCTGTGTGTACTCTCACTCTACCTATCATTCACTTCTCTAATTCTGATACTAGTTACTAGTTTTGACAGATAGGGCCGATAGTTGCATACTCCATTCCCATATTGAGCCCTTGTGGTGCATATTTATTAGTATTGTGAAAGCTTGATTAGGTCATCTTGGCAAAGGCAACGTGCTTCATTTCATATGGTTTTGAGTACATGGTTCTCGTCCAGTGGACAGTACACATACAAATATGGTGGTTGGGTGGGGAAAACGAAACTGAAACCAGAAATGAAGAACGTGGGTGAGGCCGACTGGCTTCACGTCCCTCTTTTGTAGGCAAAAGAGGGTGAGTAGAGCTTCAATGCTGTCTTTGCTGCGTTGGCCCTCGCTACACTTTTACAGTACACATTTTTTAGAAAGCGATACACGCTCTAAAAAAAATACGTATTGTGAAAGCTTGCTTAAGTCATTTTGGCAAAGGCATCGTGCTTCATGTCATGTGTAGCAGGGGCTGGAGGTGTTGCTCGATAGACAGCTGGTGGAGACTGGGCGATGGAGCAGCAGAAGCATCTTGGATGCACGTGGACGCCGCGAGGAGCTGGTCCTGCGCGATGGTGACGTAGAGCTCCTTGGCCGTGTCGCTGAGCCAATGGCCGAGTCGCTTGAAGAGCCGGTCAGGTATCCCCAAGTTAGCTGCAACAGTTGTGGCACCCTTGCGGAAGGATTGGGTGCCGAGGTGGCTTCTTGTCAAGCCCGGCCTTGGCGAAGGCTTCGAGGCACCAGATGTGGATGGTTGTGTATGACGGTGTGCTGTCTTGAGGGGTTGCCCTGCTACTGGTGCCAAAGACGCGGATCGACCATCCATTCGGGGTGGTGGGGGGTACCGCCAGTTGCAGAAAACGTCGGGTGCAACGCACAATGCAGTAAGGTTCAGTTGTGGGAGCAACTGGGATCCATGCGCCCTTGCCGTCTTGATCCGTCTTGGAGTGCGGGATCAGGATCCACATGGACTCCTCGTAGAATTGGATGTCGTTCCACTGGATGGAGACGAGGTCGGAGTAGTGGAGGAATGCTACGAACATGAGGAATGCTGGTCGACTCGAGGAAGGGGTGCGCCATGGCGTGCACCTGGTGAAGCGAGAGGGGTTCCTTCATCCTGGTGGCGCTCGGGCCGTGGCGTTTGGAGAATTCACGAACTTGTGAAGTGAAGGGCCCGCAAGTGGGAGAGGGTTCTCCGGCCATCCACTGTGCAAATGCGACAGCAGAGCTGTCAACATATAATTTGTATATGTTATAGGCTAGCTAGGTGCATGCTCATATAGAGTACAGCCCCTTAGGATATATACCCTTGCACCACCTCATTCTAGTCAATTGTTTCTATGCTAAGATGGCATCACGCTAGGTTAGGATCCCACCCACCCACACTACCGCCCTAGCCCTAGCCCTAGCCGCTCGTCCAGTAGCCGCCAGTCGCCTAGCGCCCGCTGGCCCCGAGAACGCCAGCCCCGCGCCTGCTGGCCCTGAGCTCGCCCGCCCCACGCCCGCTGGTCCCGCATTCGCCAGCCCCGCGCCCGCCAGCCCAGCGCCTGTCGGCCCTGCGCTCACCAGCCCTGCGCTCGCTGGCCCCGTGCCTGCTGGCCCCGCACCTGCTCGCCCGCGCTCGCTGGCCCTGCGTTCGCCAGCCCTGCGCCTGCCAGTCCCATGCCCGCCAGCCGGGCGCCCTCTGCCCTCGCGCTTGCCAGCCCCGTGCCCGCTGGCTCCGTGCCCGCTGGCCCCGCACCAACTCGCCCGAGCTCACTGGCCCCGCTTTCGCCAGCCCCGCTTTCGCCAGACCCGTGCCCGCCAGCCCCGTCCCACCAGCCCTGCGCCCGCTGGCCCCGCGTTCGCCAGCTCCGCGTCCGCAAGCCCCGTGCTCGTCGGCCCCGCGCTCGACAGCCCCACGCTAGCTGGCCCCGCGCCTGCCCCCCCTGGAAGTGCTAGCCCCGTGCCCATTGGCCCCGGTTTCGCCAGCCCCGGGCCTGCTGGCCCTGCTTTCGCCAGCCGCTTGCTGCCAGCCCCTGTCCTTGGGCCCCTGCTCTCGCCAGCTCCGCACCCGCTGGCCCGTGCCGCTGTACCGCCATGCCGCCATGCCGCCGTGGAGCCGTGCCGCCGTGGCGCTGTGCAGCCGTGCTGCCGTGTCGCCGTGCCGCCGTGCTGCAGTGCCGTTGTGTCACCGTGTCGCCGTGCTGCCGTGTAGCTGAGGTCGTGCAATGGCAGACGCTGTGCTCCGCCTGGACGCGGAGGGGCAGGCGATCGACTTCGATGCGTGGCTTGTCGACCTTCGCTGTCACCTGACAGATCAGCGCCAGGACGGTTACTCCCTGGCTGTTCATGTCGATGGCTTGCTTCTCCGCCCCCCCACGCCTACTGCCCTCCTTGATGCCCCCACCACTGCTGAGTGTGAGGCCCTTTCCGCTGCTGCGCTTGCTCACGCTGTCTGGGAGTCGCGCGATGCCATTGCGCAGCTTGCCATTAGTCACAACCTCCCGCTGTCTGAGCGTCCCCACTTTACCACTGTAGCGAACGCCATGGAATTCTTAGATGCCGTAGTTTCGCACTATTCTACGCCTCCCTCTGCCTCCGCTGGCCGTCTGATCCTCCCCATGCTGTTCCCTAATCTTGTGGCCTTCCCCACTCTCGCTAACCTGGCCACTCACCTCCGCGCACTTGAGGCTAGCTACCGCGCTGCTAGCACTGAGGCCCAGCTCACTTCCTTCCCGCCGCCGCTTTGCGCTACCCTTTACCCCATTCCTACGTGCCTCCCAGACCGCCTAGCCACTGCGCGCGACCACTTACTAAGTCAGCACCCAGGTGACCTCACCCTTACTGCCTTTCTCATCGCCATGTCCGAGATAGAGACCCGCCAGCGTGCTATCGCCCAGTCTAGCCGTACTGCTGCGGTCCCTATCTTTTAGGGCTGTGCTCCCTCCCAGTGCACTTACTCTGACGTTTCTGCCACTGTCGCTGAGACAGCCCCTGCTGCTGAGACCACTGCTGCGGCCTCAGCACAGCCGCGTCAGGGTAGGGGCCGCCACCTGAAGGGGGGGCGTGGCGGAGGGAAGGGTGGTGGGGGTGGTGGGGGTGGGGGCGGGGACAGTGGTTCAGACAAGGGGACCGGGGCTGGTGCCCCAAAGCAGCAGGAGCAGCAGCAGCCTCAGCAGCAGCAGCAGCAGCCTCAGCAGCCGCAGCAGCAGCCTCAGCAGCAGCAGCTGCAGTGGGGGCGCCTCCCGCCGGGGTGGCCCGGTGCCTCTGGTGGTGGTGGCCACGGTGGCAGCCCCCGCAGCTCGGCGTCGGGTGGCAGCTTCGGCGCTGTGGGTTGCCAGTACCAGCTCCAGACCGGGCCCCTCCACGGCACTATATGTGGCCGTCCCAGTCACACTGCCGCCAACTGCTTCCGCCCCGAGCAAGGGGGGAAGCAAGGCTGGATCGGGCATGGGGTGAGAGGGGAAGCAAGGCTGGATGGGGCGTGGGGTGAGAGGGGGAGCCCTACCCAGCCTTGCTTCCTTTCTGACCCCACACTATGAACAAAGTTGCTTCCCCTCTCACCCCACGCACTACCCAGCCTTGCTTCCCCTCTCACCCCACGCCCTACCCAGCCTTACTTACCCGCTGGCCCCACACTGTAAAGAGTCTTTCTTTCCCTCTCACCCCACGCCATATCCAGCCTTGCTTCCTCCCTCACCCCGCGCCGTACCCAGCCTTGCTCCCCCTCTCACCCCGTGCCCTATCCAGCCTTGCTTCCCCCCTCACCTCACGCCCTATCCAGCCTTGCTTCCCCTCTCACCCCATGCCCTACCCAGCCTAGCTTCCCCTCTCAACCCGTGCCCTATCCAGCCTTGCTTCCCCTCTCACCCCGAGCCCTACCCAGCCTTGATTCCCCTCTGACCCCACACTATGAACTAAGTTGCTTCCCCTCTCACCCCACGCACTACCCAGCCTTGCTTCCCCGCTCACCCCACACTCTAAACTGCATTGCTTCCCCTCTCCCCCCACGCCATATCCAGCCTTGCATCCCCTCTCACCGCACGCCTATCTAGCCCTGCTTCCCCTCTCACCCCATGCCCTATCCAGCCTTGCTTCCTGCCTCACCTCACGCCCTATCCAGCCTTGCTTCCCCTCTCACCCCATGCCCTACCCAGCCTAGCTTCCCCTCTCACCCCGCGCCCTATCCAGCCTTGCTTCCCCTCTCACCCTTCGCCCTACCCAGCCTTGCTTCCCCTCTCACCCCACACTGAAAACTATCTTGCGTCCCCTCTCGCCCCACGCCATATCCAGCCTTGCTTCCCCACTCACCCCGCACCGTACCCAGCCTTGCTACCTCTCTCACCCCACGCCATATCCAGCCTTGCGTCCCCTCTCACCCCACGCACTATCTAGCCTTGCTCCCCCTCTCACCCTACACACTCCCCAGCCTTGCGTCCCCTCTCACCCCACGCCCTATCTAGCCTTGCTCCCCCTCTCACCCCACCCCCTATCCAGCATCCCTTCACTTCTCACCCCGCGCCATATCCAGACTTGCTTCCCCACACCCCGCGCGCTGTCCACTCCCGAACCACCTCCCCAACCGGTCCCTATGTAGACTTGCTCCCCCTCGCACCCTGCCCCCATGGACATTTGCTACATTGCAAACTTACCCGTTACTCACCCATCCTTGAGCCCCTTCCCGTCCCGCGTCCTACAAACGCGGGACGTTAGCCCGTCCACTCTTGCGCCACTTCCCCAACCACACCCTGATTACCGTTCCTCCCCTTCTCACCCCACCTCCTGTGTGCCCGTGCTATCCTGCCGAAACCCGGCTCTATGTGCCGTGGCCATCCCTCCCAACCCAAGCTCTATGCACCATGGCCATCCCTCCCACTGGCCTCTCTCTCTCTCTCTCTCTCTCTCTCTCTCTCTCTCTCTCTCTCTCTCTCTCTCTCTCTCTCTCTCTCTCTCTCTCTCTCTCTCTCTCTCTCTCTCTCTCTCTCTCTCTCTTCCCGTCTTCTCTGTGCCCTCACCGCAGTCTCGTGTTTCGCCTCGAGCTATCGGCATCCATCTGCCATTCCCTGATAGCGCATTTATGCGTACTTGTAATTTTGAGATGTTGTGTCAGCTAGGGCGCGGGTCCACCTCTGCCCTTTTCCGGTGTGCTAAGCCCACTTCCGCGCGTCTTTTCTATTCCCCCGGCGAGTTTAGCTGCATGCCGCGCCGCTCACTTGCCGCACCCACTGGTGGCGGTTTTAGCCTCTGCAGATTGGTCATATTGAGGTGCAGGATGTAATGCGTTTATAACCTTACCCACTCAGCCACGCTCTTGCCAACTGGAATTGTCCAAGATGACGAGGTAACTTGTGCTGCGGGAGTTATTCGGTTGTGCCTAGGTAGATACTGTTCTTGCTGCAATTTTGTCTACCTGACAAGCGCGCGTAGCTCAAGTTACGCGAGGGCAACTGAGGGTGCTCCTCGGTTGTTTCTCTGAGGGCGTGTGACATACAGTTACGAACGCTCAGGTGTGGACGTCCACCTCCCCCTACCCAGTCAACAATTTTTATAATGTATTTCCAACATATCAAACCGCACTCCACCTTGTCAAAGTTCCGAACAAACTTGGTTTCATAACCGTATGTTCCACGCCCTGAACGTGGTTGGTGCTGGTGTGCTCGCGAGCTGGCGAGGGGTGGTTGCGGCAACCCCTAGCTCGCACGAATGCTGGTGATGCGCTTCAGATTTTGTTTTTTTCCCGCAAGCACATTTTCTTGGGTTTGCATTTTGGCTTGCGAAGTTCGCACTCTCCCAAATCCCCATAAGTGTTTTGTATTCCTGTTTCGCGAGTACTCGTTCCTTCGCAGCCAAAATGGGCCAGAGATCCCCCCAACCTAGCCTTCACCCAACCTCTTCCAAGCCTGGACCAGGGGGCGTTGACTTTCACGAACTAATTTGGGACCTGGGCTTGAACTTTCTTAAAAGTTTGGACTCAGCCACCTTCAAATCAACTGTTTCTGCAGTATCGGCGGCAGCTGTCCCTGGCACCCGATAAAATTGGCACCGAAAATTGCGGATGTCGTGGATGATCTTCACGTCAAGCCGAGTTCCCAGAAAACGACAATGGCGCCTGCATTTTTCTAGGGAAACAACCTTGGAGACAAGCCAGTGCCCCAGGAAACAACGACTCTGGCGCATCATTTAGTGCCCGCGATTTTCGGGGGTTTCTAGCGGTAGAACGTACGAAGATGCGACGAACCGGGTTGGTCGAGAGGGGCAAGCCGACACTTCAGGAAGAGCAGGGCAGCGTAGCATAAATCTCAAGCTGAGTGACCCCGTATTGGGCTAAGCGGTGGTAGCAGAATGGCCGTCTACCGACCGAGACTTTCTAACTGCTCACATCTTCAACACCAGGTTCCAAGTTCGGGTTTAATACTACTCCGACGGTCCTGGAAAAATAACATGGATAGAGCTGTGGTCAACCTGTGCTGGTTAATAATCGGGAGTACCGCGGGTTCGACAATCTGAAAAAAAAAGGGGGGGAGCTGTGCGCCTGGCGCACGTGCGTTTCTGTTACGACCGACAAAAGCGGGGAGTTGGGTGAACGACGACTTGTCGAGATTGTCGGGGAGCTGAAATGTCAAGACTTTTACTGTTCCGACCGGAGGAGAAAGCCACTGTTGCCGAAATTTTGGAGTGTGGCGAAGCTTCTCAGAGTTGTTCCTAGTGAAAGGGGCTACTTCGCGAAGTGTGGATGCCTAGGACCTACTACTTCCACTAGACGGGTGCAAAGACGGGTGAATGTTTGCGCGCCACTAAACGTCACGGCCTCAGGTGGGAAATTTTTCACTAGTCGAGACAGCCTTTATACACTCCGCTACTCTTGCGGCAGCTGGGAGATGGGTGAAACGTCTTCACAGTCAGCCGGTCAGGGGTGCCTAGCATACGCCGTAGTTGGGAAACAGCTGTAAGAAAATCAACGATGTACAGCATGCATCAGATCGTGATCGACGTTACTGGATGCATCAGGGGCATGTCGTACAGTTTACTCGAAGGACTGGGTCAAACTTCATGTTCACAGCCGGGCATCGTCTCCGACGTTTACGAGTTTTACGAAGCAATGTTGCAGTTGCGGACTTGGTTCATCACGTGGGGTCTCCGACAATTTCGCTGGTTTCAGGGCAACGGTACCTGGGTTTCTGATAAAACCGCAGGGAGCACTTCTATCAGGGGTACAAGCAACATCGACCAATATTTGCGGAATGTTTTGGTTGCCTGGAGGGGGAAGAGTGCAGCAGCTATTTCGGCTCTTTCCGAAATTTTCGGCGCGTACGGACAAAGTAGCTGATGCAGTTGAGGTCACATGACCCTGGGCTCGGCTCGAAGGCATTTACTGGAGTGGTTCAATACGAAGGGTGCCTGACTTTAGAACACTCTGTTCATGAATCGTGCTGGATGAATGTGGATGGAATTATTGATCGGGGGGGTGCACTTTGGGACAAAATCGGGCTGGGCATTTTGCGGACATCATGTGTACATGATTTTTCCATCGCCATCTCTCGCCACCACCCGCTACCACCTCCATCCTCATTTCGCATATTTTCGCTCGATTGTGTGAACACGATCCCCCCTCGCCATCCGAATCACCAGCAGCAGTATCGAAGGAGAAGATTTGGCAGCAGTACCGTTGGAGCTGTGTTGGGGCCAGCTCGCCATAAGTTTTTTTACTCGTGAAGAATATTTGCAGCTCGTTGGAGTCTTCTGGAGCAGTTATTGCTGACTTTCAGGACCTCATAAGCAGTTTGCCATGCATAAAAAAAATTACTATGGAGCAGATTTCGGCGTTTTCCCGGTTGTAGTTTTGAACGACATCTTCGAAGCGGAATTTCCAGCGGCAGTTAGGGTGTTTTCGCATCTCTAGAGTAGCGGGTTACTAGTCAGTTTACCAAGTTTACTGGGAGCTAATTTCTTGTTGGAGTTGGGGAGGAGTATAGTTGTGCTACAAATTTCGTCAGACCCTGTGGCGTGTTCCATCATCCATCTCCGATTGACATTCGTTCCAGTTACGTCTCCTCGCCTTAGTTCGTCAATTCGCTGATGGATTTCACAGACTTTCATGAGCCACGGATGTGTACGTGTGCTTGTACGTGTCATGAACTACCTCGCGCTTTGACAAATCATCGGCCACGTCATTCGGCAGTCATCATTTCAAGATATTGTCTCAACCACGCGCCATCATCAACCAGCAGATTTACTGTTCACAGTCTTCAGTCGGAGTATTGACCCTTGCCCATTCGGTCAGCTGAACAACTTGACAATCTTTGACGGCCACGATTAAAAGCGGTCATTTCGATATGAAGACCTCGTCAGGACGGCGTAATCATTGCGCTCGTCGCTGTATTGAAGACCTACAGTCACATTGGGGATAACTTTTCATGATTCGACCTTCGATATACGGATGGCCTTCTTTAGAAAGTGGGAGAGTGTAAGGAATTTCAATTCCTTGCAGCATTGAACTAGAGCGCGTACACCCGAAGACCTCGAAATCGCAGGTTCGGCTTGTATTGTCGGCCTAAACCTCTCCGAGCCGCGTTCCGACACCCGCGTCACCCATCCAACCCATATCATGTCTCAAGGCACTGCAACCTCCACCTCTCTTGAAGGCCGCTGCACCTCATCTGCCTTGACAATGAGAGGTGTAGATGGAAGCTTTTGCTGCTACTTCTTCCATTCCTTATAGTAAAGGGATTCAAGAAACTTCACATCCCTTGACACAGTCAGCTTCAGGGTGGTCAAGTCCCACAGCAGCCATCCCTTATGATCCTTTGCAATCCCCAAGTGCACACCCCATCTTCCAGAAGCCTCCAACTTCCCCTTTTTCTCCTTAGGCACATGAAACACCACCATGCACCCAAATGCCCTCAGCATGTTCACAGCTGGAGCACTCCCATACCACTTGGTATATGGGATCCACTCTTTATCCCCAACTGTAGCCAGCACCCTGTTCTTCACAAGGGCGACCTGCCTCAGTGCAGGCACCCAAAACGGATCAGGCAGCCCTGCACGCCCAAGGAGAGTGCGTGCCCCTTCCTGCAGGGTCCTGTTGAACCTCTCAGCCATGCCGTTTTGCTGCGGGTTGTAGGGCACTGTCAGTTGATGCTGGATCCCCTTCCTCTTCAGATCCCCCTCAAAATCAGCTCCAATGAACTCCCCACCATTGTCACTGCAGATCACCTTCACCTTGTGTTCGCACTCCCTCTGAGCTCTAGGCATCCACTTAAGGACAGCCGCTGCCACCTCCCCCTTGCTCTTCAAAGGGTAAACCCACACTGCCCGAGTGTGATCATCCACAATTGTAAAAAAATAGCGGTTGCCTGATAAGGAAGGGGCTCTTGTGGGCCCCACCATATCCATGTGCACAGGTGCAAGTGGGGTCTTGGCGGGTCCTGTTGCACAGTTGAAGGGGAACTTGAAGAAATTGGTCTCCAAGCATGTAGGGCAGCTCCCAATCTCCTTCACCTCCAAGCCCTTCAGGCTCCAATCCTTCATCAACTTCTGCAGCATAGGGAAGTTCACATGACACAGCCTCTCATGCCATGTCTCCCAAATGGCCTCACCACTCCTAGATGAAGCTTTAGCCCATGCCGTGCTCGCATCCACACCAGCAAGTACCTCGCCATGTGTCTGCTGCTGCTGCACTTTCTTAACTGCTTCCAGGACCCCATCAGTTGGTGCAGTTGCATCTCCTCCTCTTGTTGCCTTTGCCGCTGCTGCCATTGCTGCTGTTGGAGTCTTCCCATTCCAAGGGATGATGGGCAGCTACCACAGGTCCTTGGTGTAGCTGGTCTCATCTTCCAGACTCCACAATACCTTCTTCCCAAGCTAAGCACGACAGCTGGTTGGTCCAAAGTTCACTTCGGCCTTGCTCTTCTGCAGTCGCCGCACAGAAAGAAGGTTAGCAGACAAACCTTCAACCAACAGAACATTCCCAAGCCCCACAAGGTCCCCATTATCTCCCTTAACCTTGGCATTTCCAACAACAATTATGGGGAGCAAAGCACCTGACGCTGCTGCCACATACTTGAACTACCCAGGGGGTTTTACCTCATCAAGCAAATCTGTCCGTGGGATCATGTGATTGGTGCAACCTGAGTCAATTACCCAGTGCGTGAGAGTGTGCATCACAACCTTTCCCATAGATCCCACATCACCCTCATGCCTATGCACATCCTCAACCATGAGAAACATCCCAGGAGAGGCATTACCTTGTGCACCTGAGCCTTGTGCACCTAAGCCTTGCATAGCACCACCTTGTGCTCGTTCACCACTGGGTGGCTTCATGCCTGAAGGCGCCCATCCCTCCGGCCTGCTGAAGCACTTGAACCAAGGATGCCCAAACTTCTTGCAGTACCAATAGGTGCCCTCCATTCTGGTACTCCCCTTGCCACCAGAGCTTCCATGGCCCTCATTATAGTCACCTCGGCCTCTACCTCTGCCAAAGCTCCTCCCACGGCCTCGGCCTCTCCAACCCCCTCTTCCTCTGCCACGCCCTGCAGCTCCATACCCCTCAGCAATCTTAGTGGAAGCACCGCCTCCCACATGGCGTCTGCGGAAGTCCTCCTGAAGAATTTGTTGCCTTAGCCACTCAGGTGTCCATTGATCTTGCTGAGAGTTGAGGGTGGGGATGAGGTTGTTCCAAGAGTTGTCCAACACCGATATGATCTTGGTGCACTGCTACGGCTGAGAAACGATGTTTCCCTCTGCTGTCATCCTCGCATATGTGTCATTGATCTTGTCAAGGACCGGCTTCAAATCCTCATCCGAGTGCATGGAGATGGCAGCAAGTTTTTCCTCCAGCACGACCACCATCGGGAAAGTGTTGGGCTGAACTACATCGCGTAGTAGTTTCCACGCCCTTGGACCCGAATCGTCCGCTTCGACAAGATCCCTGATGTGCTCGAACATCTCCTTGTTGACCGATTGAAGGATGAGGTCGAAAAGCACCACACTTTTCTCAATCCACCGTTCACGTGCTTCGCCTTTCTCCGGCATCTTCTCCTCCCCAACAGCAATCTTCAGTAGCTTGTAGCGTTTGAAGGCACTCCTCATCCGCTCGCTCCATTCCTTATAGTTGGAGCCATCTAAAGCTTCAACTTTGGATGGTGGTGGCTCACTTGTTTTCTCAGGTACAGCTCCTCTTCCAACAGCATCTCCTCCTCTCTCATTCATCTTCTCCTTGAGAAATGTCGCATTTCAGCTCCCCTTTACTGTCCACACTTAGCTCCCTCGATATTTTCACAAGTGTCGGCGTCCACGAAATCGCGGCAGAGTTTTCCCTTAGCGGAAGTCACATCCAACCTTTAGAACACCACTTAGGCACACCCACAGGCCATGGTGGGTCTAGTAGGGTCTTCACACTTCTGTAGACTCCTCTCAATATCCTCAAAATAGCTCTGATACCACTTGTTAGGATTAAGGACGGAGTCTAGGTGAACTTGGAAGCTAGAATTACTCAAAATACAAATCCGAAATTATGGAAAGAAAAGTCATGCCCACAAGAAACGTCGTCGACAAAAACCTAGCCTTTGGAATGTCGCGAAACTCGGATATGTTGTCGCTCGTAATTTTAGCTACCGTTCCCAATTCAAATCACATCGATTAATTGAGTATTCGCGATGCAATGTCTTTTGACGCATTGGGGGGTATGCTGTAGGAGAAGAACTTAACTCAATCTCAAACTTCAATCAAGGTTCAATTATCTCACAAGGAATTAGAGGAGGAAGAGATGGGTTGGAAGGGAAGAGAGGGATGAGAGAGAGGGTCCCAAGAGAGTCCCCAACCAAGAAAAACCCATAAGCACACAGATTCCCTCCCTATAGGAACCCCAACTTTGACATTTGTCCCTTCCCAACCAATCCATCAAAGTTGGTCACCCTTTGCCAACCTAGTTTGGTTGTTCCCAACCAATTTGCAGCTACTACAGTAGAGTGACGAATTTCCCCAACCCCCAATGTCCCAACTCCATATTGAGTCACCCCACAACTTCACTTTGTAACCGCCGCAATTGTAACGCAAGCCCATAAACTTTGAATCTTCATAGCGTTCTTGCTCCGATTGAAACGATTTTTGCTGCGTTGGAAATATCTTCTCAAGATCTATCATCACAAATAACTGCTCAAACAAAAAATAACACATAATACATTCCCAAACTCTATAACACACGACACACAAATTCTTCGACAAACACATTCAAAACACACATGCGAATTGAAACATGGGATGGGAGGCAGACAGAATGTGATAGCATATGATGACATCACACAACAAGCAGTGTAACCGCTATGGACACTGACGAGTCCGCCTAATATCGCAATACAGCCCTGATTCCTGTAATAGCAGAATCTACCCCCCCCCCCCCCCCCCCCCTTCGGAATTTCCGTTCCAGCCCTGTAACACCCCCGCCATTCACGGCAGATTGATTACTAACCATACACAATCCATGTGAAATGGCATATCGCAGCCACGCTGCATCCAACACATTCAGTGCGGCAATCCATGATTGGTCCTTAGACAGATTCCATGCAAGTCTGGCACCAGAGCAGAGCAGGATCTCGCCTAGTGATAGGGAGTTAGCCAAATTCAGTTTCGACAACCAATAGACCAGCGTGGTTCAGCAGCTGCAGATAACCTCGCGCGACAAAACATGGTGGTTCCCTGGCGGCGCGGACAAGGGTACCAGCACATTGCGTTCATGCACGCAACCATCCCATACTGGCTGGCGTTTTCGTCCCCCCACGGCCCCTTCTGCTAGCTCCGTTTTTTACTCCCACCTGCTTTTGCCCTGAACATTACTTCTCCTTGTCATTCTGTGTCTGCAAGTCATTGCAGCATGCTGTTCGACTCGCATACGCCATGGTCGAGCTAGGCGACCCCGGCGAGCCTGACACTAATCGGCACCTGGACTCTCCACCCTCTCAAGCCTGACACGTATCCCGCACAGGGTTAGCAGCGCTGTGCATAGTCCCGCCTGTCAGCCAACTGGTGGTTCTGTAGGTGACGCTGCGGCTGGGTCTAACAGCAACCCCGCTGCCGGCCCCTCCACCACTACAACACAAAGTGGCAAGACGAGTTTCCATGGCTCCTCCTTGAAAGATCGCCTGATGGACTTCCCGCCTTCAAGTGTTCCGTGTGCATCGAGCATGCAGGTCTGAGTGGCAAGACCGAGCATCGTGGCAGCGGGATCAATGACGCACAGAAGCGAGCATTCACTCGCCATGCTGGGACGGTGAAGCATCGGTTGGCGTTCGGGAAGCAGACGAAGCTACTGTTGTGTGATGTCATCATATGCTATCACATTCTGTCTGCCTCCCATCCCATATTTTTTCAACTTGCATGTGTGGTTTGAACGTGTGCAAGAATTTGTGTGTGATGTGTTCTGGAGTTTGGGAATGTGTTTTGTGTTATTTTGTTTGAGCAGGTTTTTTGTGATGATAGATCTTGAGAAGATCTTTCCGACGCAACGAGAATCCCTTCAATCGGAGCAAGAACGCGAAAGCTATGAAGATTCAAAGTTCATGAGCTTGCGTTACAATTGCGGCGGTTACAAAGTGAAGTTGTGGGGTGACTCTATATGGAGTTGGGACCTTTGGGGGTTTGGGAAATTTGTCACTCACTGTAACAGCTGCAAATTGGTTGGGAACAACCAAGCTAGGTTGGCAAGGGTGGCCAACTTGGATGGATTGGTTGGGAAGGGACAAATGTCAAAGTTGGGGTTCCTATAGGGAGGGAATCTTTGTGCTTATGGGGTTTCCTTGGTTGGGGACTCTCTTGGGACCTTCCCTCTCATCCCTCTCTTTCTATCCCAACCTTTCTCTTGCTCCTTCTAATTCCTTGTGAGATTCTTGAACTTTGATTGAACCTTTTGAGATTGAGTTAAGTTCTCCTCCTACAGCTTACCCCCTAATGCGTCGAAAGCCATAACGTCGCGAATACTTCATCAATCAACGTGATTCAAATTGGGAACGGTAGCTGAGATTAAGAGCTACAACATATTCAAGTTTCGCGACATTCCAACGGCTAGTTTTTAGTCGACGTCGTTTCTTGTGAAGACGACTTTTCTGTCCAGAATTTCGGATTTATATTTTGAGTAATTCTAGCTCCTAAGTTCACCTAGACTCCGTCCTTAATCCTAACAAGTGGTATCAGAGCTGTATTAAGGACGTTGAGAGGAGTCTACAGAAGTGTGAAGACCCTTCTAGACCCACCATGGCCTGTGGGTGTGCCTAAGTGGTGTTCTAAAGGTTGGATGTGTCTTCCGCTAAGGGAAACTCTGCCGAAATTTCGTGGACGCCGACACTTGTGAAAATATCGAGGGAGCTGAGTGTGGACAGCAAAGGGGGGCTGAAATTCGTCATTTCTCAAGGAGAAGATGAATGAGAGAGGAGGAGATGCTAATGGAAGAGGAGCTGTAGCTGAGAAGACAAGTGAGCCGCCGCCATCAAAAGTTGAAGCTTTGGATGGCTCCAACTATGAGGAATGGAGCGGACGGATGAGGAGTGCCTTCAAACGCTACAAGCTACTGAAGATTGCTGTTGGGGAAGAGAAGATGCCGGAAGAAGGCGAAGCACGTGAACGGTGGATTGAGAAAAGCACGGTGCTTTTCGACCTCATCCTTCAATCGGTCAACAAGGAGATGTTCGAGCACATCAAGGATCTTGTGGAAGCGGATGATTCGGGTCCAAGGGCGTGGAAACTACTACGCGATGTGATTCAGCCCAACACTCTCCTGATGGTGATCGTGCTCGAGAAGGAACTTGCTGCCATCTCCATGCGACCAGGGGACGATGTGAAGCCGGTCCTTGACAAGATCAAGGACACCTATGCAAGGATGGCAGCAGCGGGCAGCAGTGTATCTCAGCTGCAGCAGTGCACCAAGATCATCTCGGTGTTGGACAACTCTTGGGACAACCTCATCCCCACCCTCAACTCTCAGCAAGATCAATGGACACCTGAGTGGCTAAGGCAGCAGATTCTGCAGGAGGACTTCCGCAGACGCCATGTGGGAGGCGGTGCTGCCACTAAGACTGCTGAGGGGTATGGAGCTGCAGGGCGCAGCAGAGGAAGAGGGGGTTGGAGAGGCCGAGGCCGTGGGAGAGGCTTTGGCAGAGGTAGAGGCCGAGGTGACTATAATGAGGGGCATGGGAGCTCCAGTGGCAGGGGGAGTACCAGAATGGAGGGCACCTGCTGGTACTGCAAGAAGGTCGGGCATCCTTGGTTCAAGTGCTTCAGCAGGCTGGAGGGATGGTCACCTCCAGGCATGAAGCCGCCAAGTGGTGAACGCGCACAAGGTGGCGCTGTGCAAGGCTCAGGTGCACAAGGTGAAGGTGCACAAGGTAACGCCTATCCTGGGATGTATCTCATGGTTGAGGATGTGCATGGGCATGAGGGTGATGTGGGATCTGTCGGAAAGGTTGTGATGCACCCTCTCACGCACTGGGTGATTGATTCGGGTTGCACCAGTCACATGACTCCACGGGCAGATTTGCTTGATGAGGTAAAACCCCCTGGGAAGATTAAGTATGTGGCAGCAGCGTCAGGTGCTTTGCTCCCCGTGATTGGTGTTGGGAATGCCAAGGTTAAGGGAGCTAATGGGGAGCTTGTGGGGCTTGGGAATGTTCTGCTGGTTGAAGGCTTGTCTGCTAACCTTCTCTCTGTGCGACGACTGCAGAAGAGCAAGGCCGAAGTGACCTTTGGACCAACCAGCTGCCGTGCTAAGCTTGGGAAGAAGGTGCTGTGGAGTCTGGAAGAGGAGACCAGCTGCATCAAGGACCTGTGGCAGCTGCCCATCATCCCATGGAATGGGAAGACTCCAACAGCAGCAACGGCAGCAGCGGCAAAGGCAACAGCAGGAGGAGATGCAACTGCACCAACTGATGGGGTCCTGGAAGCAGTCAAGAAAGTGCAGCAGCAGCAGACACATGGTGAGGTGCTTGCTGGTGTGGATGCAAGTGCGGCATGGGCTAAGGCTTCACCAAGGAGTGGAGAGGCCGATTGGGAGACATGGCATGAGAGGCTGTGTCATGTGAACTTCCCTATGCTGCAGAAGTTGGTGAAGGATGGGAGCCTGAAGGGCTTGGAGGTGAAAGGGGGAGTGAAGGAGATTGGGAGCTGCCCTACATGCTTGGAGACCAAGTTCTCCAAGTTCCCCTTCAACAGCACTACAGGACCAGCCAAGACCCCACTTGCACTTGTGCATATGGATGTGGTGGGGCCCACAAGAGCCCCTTCCCTCTCAGGCAGCCGCTATTTCTTGACAATTGTGGATGACCACACTCGGGCAGTGTGGGTTTACCCTTTGAAGAGCAAGGGGGAGGTGGCAGCGGCTGTCCTTAAGGAGTGGATGCCTAGAGCTCAGAGGGAATGCGGATACAAGGTGAAGGTGATCCGCAGTGACAATGGTGGGGAGTTCATTGGAGCTGATTTTGAGGGGGAGTTGAAGAGGAAGGGGATCCAGCATCAACTGACAGTGCCCTACAACCCGCAGCAGAATGGCGTGGCTGAGAGGTTCAACAGGACCCTGCAGGAGGGGGCACGCACTCTCCTTGGGCGTGCAGGGCTGCCTGATCCGTTTTGGGTGTCTGCACTGAGGCAGGTCGCCCTTGTGAAGAACAGGGTGCTGGCTACAGTTGGAGATAAGGAGTGGATCCCATATGTCAAGTGGTATGGGAGTGCTCCAGCTGTGAACATGCTGAGGGCATTTGGGTGCATGGTGGTGTTTCATGTGCCTAAGGAGAAAAGAGGGAAGTTGGAGGCTTCTGGAAGATGGGGTGTGCACTTGGGGATTGCAAAGGATCACAAGGGATGGCTTCTATGGGACTTGACCATCCAGAAGCTGACAGTGTCAAGGGATGTGAAGTTTCTTGAGTCCCTGTACTATAAGGAATGGAAGCAGCAGCAACAGAAGCTTCCATCTACACCACTCATTGTGGAGGCAGATGAGTTGCAGCAGCCTTCAAGGCAGGTGGAGGTTGCAGTGTCTGAGGAGGAGATATCTGGGGTGACTGAAGAAGGGGGAGCAGCTGAAGTGGAGCAGCAACAGCAACATGAGTCTCCACCTCGAGTTCCACACCCGCCTGAGCGACCTAGGAGGGATGTGCGCCCTCCTGTGAGGCTGACCTATGGGGGAAGAGGCAAGCCAAATGTGGTGCAGGCTGGGAGTGTGGTTGAGCAGATTGAGGAAGATGAGATCGCTCACTGCTACTGGGCACCAATCCCTGAGCCCAAGACTCGAGAGGAGGCCTTGAATGGACCAAATGGGGAGAAGTGGAAGGCGAGTGAGGATGAGGAGTTCGGGTCCCTAATTGAGAACGAGACATGGGACCTGTGTGACTTGCCTCCTGGAAAGAAGGCAATCACTTCCAAGATGATCTACAGGCACAAGTATGGACCTGAAGGGGAGCTGACCCGCTACAAGTCTAGGCTTGTGGCACGGGGGTTTCAGCAGACAAAGGGGAAGGACTATGATGAGGTGTTTGCTCCTGTGGGGAAAGGAACAACACTGAGGGTGCTGTTGGCGATAGCTGCACTCCTGGGATGGAAGATACGGCAGATGGACATTGTGACTGCCTTTCTGAATGGGATCATTCTGGAGGAGGTGTACATGAAACAGCCAGAGGGGCTGGATGACGGGAGCGGCAGGGTCTGCAGGCTGAAGAAGGCCATCTATGGCCTTAAGCAGGCGCCTCGTGCATGGTATCACAAGTTGGAGGAGGCGCTGTTGGCTGGGGGTTTCAAGAAGAGTGAGTGTGACCCCAGCCTGTTCCTGCTGCAGGAGAAGGATGAAATCCTCATGCTCTTGGTGTATGTGGATGATATCCTTCTCTTTTCTGCATCCACTGCTTTGCTGGACAGCGCAGAGCAGATGCTGGAGATGCAGTTCAAGTGCTCCAAGATGGGTGAGGTGAAGTACTACTTGGGGATGCACGTGGAGAGAGATGTGGAAAAGGGTGTGCTGAGGTTGCACCAGAGGAAGTACTGTGAGGGGCTGGCTGAGAAGTATGGGCTGCAAGATGGGGGAAAGCCAGCAACACCACTACCTTCAGGGTTTACTGTGGAGCCATGTGCTGATGAGGAGGTAGTGGGTGAGAGTGACAGGAAGCTGTTTCATTCGATGGTTGGGTCGCTGAATTATGCTGCAAATCATACACGGCCTGACATTGCATTTGCTACATCACGATTGGCTAGTGTGGTCTCACGCCCTAGTCATGAGCAGCTGGAAGCGGCCAAGAGGTTGGTCCGCTATGTGAGCGCTACGGCATCAGTGGGATTGGAGTACAGTGGAGTGAGGCAGCGGTTGCAGAGAGGTGCTGCAGATGTGAAGAGTGGAGAGATGCTCTTGAGTTGCTATACTGACGCTAGCTTCAACTCAGTGAAAGCGGATGGCACCAGCATTGGGGGTTATGTGTGCTTGCTAGGAGGTGGTGCTGTGAGCTGGCGCAGCAAGAAGCAGAATGAGGTGGGATTGTCCTCATGTGAGACTGAGTACATGGCCTTACACCATGGGGCCAAGGAAGTAGTGTGGCTAAGGCGTTTGTTGGAGGAGTTGGGAGTTGGTCAGGAGAAGCCGACAGTTGTGTTTTGTGACAATGAGTCCGCTGTGAAGCTCGCCAAGAATGCTTGTCTGCATGGGCTGACAAAACACATAAGGCCTAAGTGGCATTGGGTGAGGAGACTCCTTGATAAGGAGGTGCGGCTGGAGATAGTGAAGACCCATCAGCAGGCAGCAGATATTTTCACCAAGCGTCTGGCGGAGGCGGATCATTGGAAGGGCATGAAGCTTGCTGGGATGAGTGTGCATTGAGTATGCATGCTTGAGATGTTGGTATGGTGGATGATGGTTGGCAGCCAGAGGGGGAGATTGTTGTGTGATGTCATCATATGCTATCACATTCTGTCTGCCTCCCATCCCATATTTTTTCAACTTGCATGTGTGGTTTGAACGTGTGCAAGAATTTGTGTGTGATGTGTTCTGGAGTTTGGGAATGTGTTTTGTGTTATTTTGTTTGAGCAGGTTTTTTGTGATGATAGATCTTGAGAAGATCTTTCCGACGCAACGAGAATCCCTTCAATCGGAGCAAGAACGCGAAAGCTATGAAGATTCAAAGTTCATGAGCTTGCGTTACAATTGCGGCGGTTACAAAGTGAAGTTGTGGGGTGACTCTATATGGAGTTGGGACCTTTGGGGGTTTGGGAAATTTGTCACTCACTGTAACAGCTGCAAATTGGTTGGGAACAACCAAGCTAGGTTGGCAAGGGTGGCCAACTTGGATGGATTGGTTGGGAAGGGACAAATGTCAAAGTTGGGGTTCCTATAGGGAGGGAATCTTTGTGCTTATGGGGTTTCCTTGGTTGGGGACTCTCTTGGGACCTTCCCTCTCATCCCTCTCTTTCTATCCCAACCTTTCTCTTGCTCCTTCTAATTCCTTGTGAGATTCTTGAACTTTGATTGAACCTTTTGAGATTGAGTTAAGTTCTCCTCCTACAGCTTACCCCCTAATGCGTCGAAAGCCATAACGTCGCGAATACTTCATCAATCAACGTGATTCAAATTGGGAACGGTAGCTGAGATTAAGAGCTACAACATATTCAAGTTTCGCGACATTCCAACGGCTAGTTTTTAGTCGACGTCGTTTCTTGTGAAGACGACTTTTCTGTCCAGAATTTCGGATTTATATTTTGAGTAATTCTAGCTCCTAAGTTCACCTAGACTCCGTCCTTAATCCTAACAGCTACTGCAGCAGGCGACGACACAGACTTTGATTGACCATGTTGCAGGCGCGTTGTAGGCGGCCCGAGTCACAGCCCTTCTCGACGTTCTCTACCTCTGCTGCAAGACTAACGAGCCGATGGAGTCGTGGGTGAGGTTCTCATGCTACCTCACTGTGAGGAAGGTAAATAACTTCACCGACGAAGGCTACGGGTGCTACATGAACAGGTAAGGTCCCTATCCTCTCGGATCACTGATTGTGCACCTAATACCCTTTACACATGGTGTGGTAATTTTGACTGAATGTCTTTCCTTGAATGTCTTTCTGTGAATGCCTTTTTTTTTTTCTTTCTTTTTTTAATGTCCTTCCTTTACTGTCTTTCCTTAAATGTAGTTTTTCACACACTAACCTGAATGTCGTTCCTTTCCATCTGTTGCATCCTGGTTGGCAGTTACGGCTTGGGGGGGTTCACCATGTCAACCGCAACCTGGCTGCAGACCACGCAACTGGAGCACTTGCTTCGAAGCCCATTCATTGGAATCAGTCTGGATGAGAGCACGGATCGCTGCAGGGGGAAACATCTAATAGTCTTCGCCACATTCATTCGCGAGAATCATGTCGTCTGCGAGTATCTCACCCTGCTCACGATGGACAAGGCGGACGCTGCATCCCCGCTCGCTCTGTTGCTCTCACACCTGGGGCCAATCGGCATAGACCTGCGGCGGGTCTCCGGCATCAGCACCGACGGCGCGGCTGTGATGAAGGGAGCCAAGGGGGGTCTGGTGACGCGCCTGCGACACCAGATTCCTCACTTGGTGTCTTGTCACTTCATAGCATACAGGTAAGCGAAGTTTTCTTTATGAGTGGGGCGCTTACGCAAACGGACCATTGTGTTAGAATACTAGAATGCTAGGAAGAGTAAGCCATGGAATGGCGTGAGGTTTTAGGCTAGGAGAAATATCGAGAGAGGAGTGATTTGGAATAGAAGAGAGAGGGATACAAGAAGGGGGTTTGTACCCTCTATAGTAGAATCCAGTAACACCTACCAAGCCTACCATAATATATATCTTAAATATATAATTTAACACACCCCCTAGGCTTGGTAGCTGAAAGCCCACCACACACACAGCACACTAAGCCACACACCCCCTAGCACCTCCATACTCAGCAGCAGCGACGGCTACTCCCGCATGGTCAACCCCACAGTGCGTGAGCCGGGGCGATGGTGACAGCGAGGGCAGCGGCTGCAACGGCGACGACGGCGGCAGCATCGACAGCGGCGGCGGTGGCGGCGTGCAACGGCGTGGCCAGCGGCACCAGCTGTGGCGGCGGCAGCTTCGACGACAGCTGCCGGCGACAGCAGAGCTCGCAGCACTCGGCGGCGTGGCCAGGATCCGCGACGGTAGGACGGCCGGCGCAATTTAGCTGTCGGCTGCGGCGAGGAAGAGGGGACGCAGGGGATGGGGAGGGGGGGGGGCGCTGCCCCGTGTGGCGCGCTGGCTGCATGCGGGCGTGCTGGCCAGTGCTAAGAAGGGGCGCTGGCCGCTGCCGACCGTGCCGTATGCGCGCTGGCAGCACGTCGCCACGGCAGCAGGACGGCGCCGTCACGCTGCCACGGCTCGACGTCGACGACGCCGACAGCGCGACGCCACAGCAGCGCGTTGAGACGGCCGTGGCAGCACGATGCGGCCGGCGGCACGACGATGCCGCCACAGCAGCATGACGCGGCTGCCATGGCAGCTCAAGAGAGAGAGGAGTGCGCGGCGGAAGCGAGAGTAGAAGGTCCAGCAGGTTGAACCTGCTCTATTACCATGTTAGAATACTAGAATGCTAGGAAGAGGAAGCCATGGAATGGCGTGAGGTTTTAGGCTAGGAGAAATATCAAGAGAGAAGAGTGATTTGGAATAGAAGAGAGAGGGATACAAGAAGGAGGGTTGTACCCTCTACAGTAGAATCCAGTAACACCTACCAAGCCTACCATAATATATATCTCAAATATATAATTGAACACATTGTACGTACTAACACCCTTCTGTATCGTGCATCATTTGTGTATGCGCAGAGAGGCACTGGCTGTGAAGGCGGCAGCAAAGGACGTGCCCGGTTTCAATATCATCGACGATGTGATTCGTGAACTGGCCGAGTTCCTTGGTCGGTCGGGGCTGTGGCACCAGCGGTTTCTGGAGCTCCATGACGTCTTTCTGGCAACTTTACTCGAGATGCAAGGTATCTTTCACATTCGCTGGCTATCTCGAGGTGACGATGTCATTCGTCTTGTCGATGTTCTCCCTACAATCATTGTCATGCTCTCTGAGTTTCCCGACAAGAGGTTGTACAACATTGTCACCTCTCACCGTTTCTGGATCATGTTGATGTTTCTTGCTGATGTTCTCGAGCTGCTCAGCACTCTCAACAAGGCCTTTTAAGCACACGAGGTATAATAGGTTGCATTTTTTTTTTTATCCATACTTACTACGACTTGCCTCACTTTGCTTATGTCCCCCCCCTGCTCGCAACTGGACTTCGGCTCCGTCAACTCGGCAATCAGCCGCGTGAATTCCCTCCTCCTAAGCCGCTACGTCGACTGCGGCGACGACTTCACCGGGGGGGGCGAAAGACCTCCTCACGGGATTCCTTACCCGTCACAGCCTTGGCGGTATGCGCAGCGTCACCGATGAAGGCCTGAAGTCCGATGGCAGCTAAACACGCTTCACCTTCATCCTGCATGACAGAGGGCTTCTCGACTATCCTGGGAGGTAGAAGCATGATGATTGTGTGGTGGAGTGCATGACATTGGAGGAGGGTTTGGTTAACAACCTGCAGGAGCGGCTGGGAGATGTGGAGAAGCTGATCGGCTCCAGAATGTTCGCTGCGGATGAGTGGCCCGTGGGGTGGCTATGGGCTCCCCGGAATGCACAGTGCCTTGCCTGATTCAAGTCCCTAGTTGACTTCTACCATGCTGGAGAGGCTGCCGAGATCCTGCCAGGCATCGACAAGTTGCAGCTGCCAAGGAAATCCCGCACTTCACCCCGGTTCTTGCTGCCCTTCCGAAGGGTGACAAGGGCTACTTCACTGGTCTCACCGCCATGCTGAAGACACCTGACTGGCAGCATAGTTACCCCAACTTGGTGAAGCTCTGGTGCGCCATTGCCGTCCTGTCCCTTAGTGCCGTAGAGTGCGAGCGCGGGTTCTCCCGCCTGAACAAGATCAAGAGTACATTGCGTGGTAGCATGAAGGATACACGTCTTGGGGACCTGATGTGAGTTAGCTTGCTAGACTATGAGCCCGATTGGGCAGCAGTTGTAGAAATCTGGAGGGCGTACAAGAAGAGGAAGCCCTACAACAATGGTCCTCAGATCCGAGACCGTGGTAGCAAGAAAGGGAAGGAGAAAGTGGAGGATGATATTGGTGTGGTAGCTGTAGAGTGCATGGAAGAGGAGGAGGATGATGATGAGTAGATTTTCTGCCCTGATAATACAGTCTCTATGGTTTTCAGATCAGTTTAAATGTACCGTAATCCCCCGTATATAACACCTTATGGTGTATATAAAAATTCACTTAAAAAATGACTGGGTGTTAACAGTGGCTCGGAAAAATATAGTGCCCATGTGTTATGTAAAATGCAATTTGAATTTGAGTGTTTCAGGCCATGTGTGTTCACAAATGCACGGAGCGACTGTTAGCGAGGTACAGCATCCGCTAAGACGAAACTCACAATCCAATCGTCGTTGGCCAATCTATGCTGAGTGTTGTGGTCAGGGCCAGGTTTGTGCGGCACCTGCGACCGTCATGATCGCGACAGAATCCGCGACTTCGACGAGAGGATTTCGCTCGGGAGGATTATGACCGTCAAATCACAACAGAATCCGCGACTTCGACGGTCGAAATCCTCCCGAGTCTCGACCTTTGCTGACGTTTCGTTTTTTCGCTGCTAATGGTAGTTGACATTGCCTTTTTCATCCTGTTCGTTATTTTTCTCAATCGATCTGAGCTTGAAAAACTACGAAATATTGTTCTTTGCTGCATAAAACGAGGAGGGTGTTATGTAAAATGCAACCCCCGAAAAGCGGGTGCTCTCCTAGATTCACCCTATCATAACCTCTCCCCCGCATAAACCACCCGCGGAGTGACTGTCTCGGCGGGTGTTATATACGGGGGATTACGGTATTAGCTAACCCTGACCACTCAGGTTGAAAATATCTAACACCCCTGAAAAATCAGCGGAAAAAAAAAAATGGGCACTGAAAAAACAAGGTTGTCTTTGGGGGGGGGGGGGGGGGGGGGGGGGGGGGCTGAGCAATCTGGGCACCTCTAAACCAATCTGAGGACCTGATATGGAGCCCAACTCTCTTGAGGATATTGTCAGAAAATCAGGCACTAACCACTGAGTTAAAATGGCTTGTTAATAGCGGGTCAGTGCGCCCATAGCCCCCCAGGCTCTGCACATGTGGCCCTTCCCCGAGGATCTTCTAAAGGGTAACCCCAGCGGGTCACTCGACACCCCCCCTCGCTGGGATTGGTGGAAGACATGAGCGCCTCTGCAGCGCTATCACTTGATTGAACCCGAGTCACCAACGCTCTGATAGCATGTTAGAGACCCAGCCACTAACCACAGAGTTAAAAGGGCTTGTTAACAGTGGGTCAGTGCGCCCATAGCCCCCCAGGCTCTGCACCTGTGGCCCTTCCTCGAGGATCTTCTCAAGGGTAACCCCAGCGGGTCACTCGACAGATATCCCTTCTTGTCCAAGTGGTTAGGACTGGTGACTTTATGACACGCATCGTATCGCATAAGGGCGGATTCCTACGAAGTTGGATCCAGCGAAGTTGGATCCAACGCGCGCAGTACAGTTTAGTTCAATTGTCGAAAATGTGCAATCAATGCGGTTCGGTTCGGTAGTGCGCGAAACTAGATCCAACTTCTCCAGATCCCACTTTGTATGACTCCGCCCTAAGAAACACGCACCTCTGAGCCGAGAGGTTGGTGGCTGCGGCTGATTTCTTATCCTCATGGCCAGCAAGCCGTCTTCCTTGTAAGTCGCGCACGAAACTTCGCAGACATTGGCAGGCAGAGTCAGTTGGGTTGGCAGGGTTAGTAGTACCATGGATGGTTTCCTGGATGGGCAGGTCACAGGTGCCTTCGGCAGTTCTGGTTCTTGTGCGCATGTTTAGGGTTGTTGGTTTAATTCAGCGGGGGCAACTCGAACAATGAAGGAATCGCAATACATAGAGGAACATCCTGGCTAGGCGGGAACCTTGAGGGACGAGGTTGGGAACACAATCGGCTGTGACATTCGGGTCTATTGGACCGCGCTCGGTCTGATGCTCCACGGGTACGGGCATACGTGATGCACCACAGCACAGCCGTGGACGCGATTGAAGAGCTCCATTCATTACAAGATCTGCTTCAAGACGTCCTTCATCTGCTCGCGGTCGAGAGTTGTTGCAACTTGAACCTCTTGAACCTGTGCGTTGGAAAGAGAGCACGGGCAGACCATGGGAATGAGTGAGCGCGGGCAGACCATGGGAAAGAGTGAGCATGGGAAGCACATGGACTTGAACGCAAGGCTACAGGTGAACACCAAAGGGAGCATGGTTGAAAAGAGTGAGCATGTGAAGTCACTACAACTTGAACCTACATGTGCCCTTGTGCATTGGCTACACTTGAAACAAAAACAAGAGAGTTGAGTGCAAGATTATGCAAGAACAGCGAGAGTGAGGGGGGGCAAAGCGAAAATCAGTTCCAGTTCAGCGAGTGCTAGGTAAAAAAAAACGTTGTTCTTTTCTTTTTTCTGCCGTATTATACGATATCGTATTTTTCGGCCATTAAATACGACAAAAAACGTTTCCGGATGTTTCATTTTCATTGGTGGAAAAAAAGGTCGTTCTAAACGACCGATATTTTTTATCGCATCGGAATTTGCAAAACAAACAAAGTAGGAAAGGGGAAAAGAAGGTGGAGGTGGAGGGAGGGGGAGGAGGAGGAGGGAGTAGGAGGAGTAGGAGGAGGAGGAGAGGGAGTGGGAGGAGGGAGAGGGAGGAGAGAGGGAGTAGGAGGAGTAGGAGAAGTAGGAGGAGTAGTAGCCTAGTAGGAGGAGTAAGTAAGAGGGAGTAGGAGAAGGATTTCTGTCTTTTTTACACACCCACCTTGCATGCAACGTAGCCGCCAGCAGCGTAATTCTGTGCTTGTGTTTTGTTGCCCTTCGGGAAAAAAAAAAAAAGTCTATTAAAAAAAAGTTTTCAAAAAAAAGAAAAAAAAATTATAGAAAATCACCGTATTATACCATCGAAAAAAACGGCCTGCCGTTTTTTTCAACTTTGAGCGAGCGGCAGTGACAGAGGCGTGGAAAGGAAGGCAATGCAGTGGAAGGGACGGCAATCAGGTCAAAGGGTTTGCAGTGCGGTGAAAAGGCAGCTCACCAGTCGGCCTGCTCGTGCAAGCAGAGTAAACTGTCCCTCTGCTGCTGGCGCCTGCAAGGTGGGCGAGGCAGGAGAGGAGACAGAGCGGGGAGAGGGGAAGAATAGAGGGTGAGGAAAGCGGCATGGACAGAAACAGGGGAAAGGCGATGCCGATAAACAGGGTGGGGAGGCAGGGAAGAGGATAGACACAGACAAGGCACTGAGAGTGACTCGCAGGAAGGGAACTCTTCACAAATAGGCCTGAATCCTAAAGCCTAGACCCTGAAGCCTGAACCCTAAAGCCTAAACTCTAGCGTAGCGGCTCACATTGGAGAGCCAGAGCTCGAGGTCCTGCGACACCACCCTGCGCTCCACTGCCTGGCGGCCCAGCGCCACCGATGAGATGCTGCCCGGCATACAGGGGCGGGCAGAGTGGGGAACACAGGGAAGTGCAATGCAGAGGGAATTCAGCATCGGGCAAAGGCAAGGGGGGCAGGTGCAGGGGAGGAACGGGTGGGAAGTAGGGCGAGGGAGCATTGGACAGAAGCCTGGGCAAGGGGCAAAGAGCGAACGAGCGAACGGGAAGCAGGCAGGGAGACGGAGTCTACGACTATACTGCCCGTTGCCCGCCTGGTGACGTCACTCATATGTCTAGGGCAGGGGCAAAGCAAGGGGCAGGGAAGCCGAGGGGTCAGGGTGTTGAGGTCGCAGGGCAGGGCATTCGGATGTGTGAGATTCGAAAAAGGTATGGGAGAAGGGAGGAGTGAGGAGCCACGTTGAGAAAGCGACTCACCCCCATTGCTGCCTCAGCTGGCTGTAGAGGGCTAGAAGGGAAGGCAGGGGAGGTGGAGAGGAAGCGGCGGGGAGGGGGGAGGGAAGGATAGGCAAGCGACATTGGAGTTGGTTTAAAAGAACCTGGCGACTCACCCTGGTTGCTGCCTCAGCTGGCTGCAGAGGGCCAGCAGGCCCGGCAGGGGAGGCGGAGAGGAAGCAGCGGGGAGGGGGGAGGAGGGAGCAGAAGAGGCGGCCTGTGGAAGACGAGGGGGGGGCGGGGGCGCATGAAGTAGGGAGACATGAGGGAGGCGGACGTGAGGTAGGACGCTCTGAACTGGACAAGCGAGGAGCGAGAGCTATGGATGGGATGGGCTGGGGTGGGGTGGGGTGGGATGGGGTAGGGATGGGGGATGGGGATGGCATGGCATGGGATGGGATGGGATGGGATGGGATGGGATGGGATGGGATGGGATGGGATGGGATGGGATGGGATGGGATGGGATGGGGTGGGGGATGGGATGGCATGGCATGGGATGGGATGGGATGGGATGGCATGGGGTGGCATGGGATGGCATGGGATGGCATGGGATGGTATGGCATGTGATGGCATGGGATGGTATGGCATGTGATGGCATGGCGGAGGGCGAGCAAGAGGAGGCCTTAGGGGAAGGCAGCAATTGGAGTGGCTCCAGGAGGGGTACTGAGTGGGTGCACCAGGTAGGAGCAGTACGCGGAAGGGGAGTGAGTGAGTGAGGGGGGTAAGTGAGTAAGGGGAGTGAGGGAGGAAGGGGAGTGAGTGAGTGCAACGGTATCAGCAGCAGAAAACGGACCTCAAGGGCGGAGGGCGAGGGGGAGGAGGCATCGGGGGCGGGCTGGAAGGGCAGCAGGCGGTCGAGTGTCTCAAGGAGGGGGTCCGCCTGCACCTGCTTCAGCGACAGCCCCACCCGCTCGCGCTCCCTGCCACGTGCAGCGCACGTGGGGGGGAGAGGGACAAGCGCGCATACATTGAGGCATTCCAGTTGACCCATAAGGTTGCCAAAGCTATTTCACACGGAGAGACGCCAACCAGCACACGCGTTAGTAAGGGCTGCGCACGACACACGATTCCCTGGAGCAAGCAGGTGCATGGCCCTCCAGCATCAGCAGCCACGCTGAGAGAGGAGTGGCCTTTGCCGCATCTCTGCACCCACCTGTCAACTTGCAGCACCATGGCGCTGACGTCATCCCCCACGGCCACGACGTCAGCGGGCGAGCGTACGGGGTCCCAGGAGAGCTCGGAGAGGTGCGCCAGGCCCGTGGCGAGGAAGGCGCCGTCGGGCTGGAAGAGATCCACGAACACCCCGAAGTCCGCCACCGACGCCACCATCCCGGGGTACACGCTCCCCTCCTCCACCCGCCGCAGCCCCTTGGCCGCTGCGGCACGCTTCTCGGAGACCACAAGGCGCGTGCGCGCCTCGTCCACCTCGAGGATGCGCAGGCCCACCATGCTGCCCACCAGGCCCCGCGCCACATCTGCTGCGCTGGGGGGCGCTGCTCCCGCTGGGGGTAGAGGGAAGGGGAAGGGGAAGGGGAAGGGGAAGGGGGAGGGTAGAAGAGGGGAGGTGGCGAAGGGGGACGCATGAACGCCCCTTCACCATCTCTCCCCCACCGGCGCACACCCTCCCCTCCTGCACTTGCTGTAGCTCCTAGGCTTCTGTTGCTGCTGGGAAGGGGAAAGCAGGAGGGCATTAGCGAGACTTTCCAAACCAGCTGACACCACGAGGCGGGTTCCTGCCTCGTCCGCCTCATTCCCGCCCCCACGTGCTGCCTGCCACGCCCCGCATTGTGTCTGCCACAGCTGCTGCGTCAGGAGGGATACAGGAGATGGAGAGGGTAGGGGATAAGGGAGATGGCGAGGGTAGGGGATAAAGGAGATGGCGCAGACAGGGGAGGAGAGGAGGGTACCCGGGGAAGAGGGGGGCAAGTGAAGGGTCAGTCCGGCACCACCCTTCCAGCCACCACCCAAGTATACCGGTTCTTAGGGACCTCTCAATGGGGCTGTGACTGGACTCACCCGTCCCTCTAAGCCGCGCGGGGTCGAGCTGCGAGAGCGGCAGGAACGCCTGCAGCGGCCCCAGGCGCACCAGGAGACCCCCCGCGTTGGCGGACACCACCCTCCCGCGCACCACCGCCCCCTTCTCCGCCACCCCCCGCACCCGCGCCCATTCCGCCTTCCGCTGCTTGGGGAAGAGGGGAACGGACGGGGAAAGAGGGGGCGGTGAGGGGATGGTGGGGGGATGGTGGGGGGTTGGTGGGGGGATGGTGGGGGGTTGGTGGGGGGATGGTGGGGAGATGGTGAGCGGATGATGGGGAGATGTTGTGGGCATGGTGAGGACTGGGAACTTGGAAGTGGGGGACGGGATGGGAGGAGGGATGTGAATGCGGTCTTGACGCAAAGCTGAGATAAAGGGAAGGCGTTGGAAAGTGGCGACGCCACTACACGCCTCCCCACCCTCCAACCTACCCACGTGTTTCCCCTTCCCCTTTCCCTTCCCCCAAAACCCTTCCATTCGCTGCCTCCCCTCTCCTCTCCCCCCCCTTTTCCGTTTGCACCCACCGTCCCTCCCACCTGTTTGCCTTCGTCCGTCACGTTTGGTTCAGCTGCTGCCGCGTTCTCAACGGCGCTCGCCCGCACTCTGAAAGAGCCCCCCGAGCTCCGCCGCCGCCGCTGCTGCTGCTGCTGCTGCTGCTGCTGTCCCTGGTTTTGCTGCCTCAGGCTTATACCGAGTCTACAATCACCTGCACGTCACGCTCGCATACAGTCACGGGCGCATACAGTCACGGTCGCACGCAGAATTGCGAGAAACGCACATCGGCAGGAGCGCAGGGAGAGGCGCACACGATGAGAGCGAGGAGAGCACGGAAATCATAACCCGAGAAAGTCTCCGAGTATGCAAAAGACGCAAAAGACGCACCGTGCAGCTCCTGACCGTGCTCCAAGGCACCAACCTCGGTCAACGGAAAGCCAGACAAAGCCTACAGGTAGAAAGGGGTTAGCCTCTACTGGCACTTTGTACAAGTGGCCCTAGATTCCAGCGGATTCGCACGTGCCATTTTTCTCGATTATCCTTTTATCGGCGTGGAGCCGACGATCATGGCATTCTATGTGCGACGCTTAGCCACTGCGCTACACGAGCAGAGCGAGCATGCGACACCGAGGGACGGGGGGAGGGGAACGTCAGGGAATGAGAGGAACGAGGAGAGGGTGAGCGCGGGGAATACCGAGGGCACGGGAAAGGCGACAACCGCACCTGAGGTGACGCGAAGGGGACGGGAAAGGACTCGCGAGGAAGCTAATAACGAGGTATTGGCGCGAGCTGGCAATAACGATGACGCCATGGTGGCGAGGCGAGCGAGGAGAGCGAGTCGACGAAATTTATGAATTCAAATGTGACTCGGGTCGCGTTGGGCCTGATGTACAGATACGGATAGAAGGCTCTGAGGAAAACGATAGCTGGTTTCAGAATGATGTCGACGGATGAAGATTCATTCTATGAAGGGCAGCAGGACAAACGGATGCTAGCGACAGAGGTTTAACGAGGCTTAGAGCGTTTTCGGAAGGTTCAGTGTGGTGAAATGCGCTCCTGTGGCCTCGAACTTGTACAATCCTTCAGGGCGAATTCCTGCGTCGTGTGATCATGCTGGTGGCGAAGAACTAGAGGCCCAAAACTCCGACACGTCAGCACACTTATATGGCAGGCCACGCCCCACGACATTCTTGACACCCGCTGGATGACACGATGCAGACATCCCCCGCAGGGTGCGTGTCAGGTAACTTCACACAAAGTCTCTGACTGATGACGTGACAATTCCGCGTTTGTGCAAATTCTTCGTAAGAAAAAATCCATGCTAAGGATATCTCAAGAGCTGTATTGTCAATCTAAAGCAAGTATTCTCATAGAAGTTGTTCATTTAGGTCCAATCTGTAAATTTACCAATCATTGAGCGATTCCACTATGTTTCTCAATGCTTGAAATTGTTCTTGCGTTCAAATACACCCACTTGAACCGTTGCACAATGGATTGACCCATGCGTTAGAACATGTAAATTTTGTAAGTGTTCACACTTTCAAAATTGCGTATTGTGAATGCGAAGCTGCTTGTAACGCTATCTTCGGCATCGTCGAAGTGCGCTATTCCCCCTTCTCCAAATATATAATGGGGTTCGAGGTCATTCCTTCTCCACCCACGTTTTTCATCTTTCACAACTCAAGTTCAATTGAGTTCCCATCCCGATTTTTTTTCGCTCCGCCACCCTGGCGAAGTTGAAAACTCTTCCTCGCGGGCAAGCACCCTCCCAGCTTCTTGCCGATATCCTTACACATAACCAGGCAGCCATGGCCAGGGCTGACGTTATCCGACTAATTAGTCTGAAAATTCAGACCCTATTGTTGGCCAAACCTGAATTTTCAGATTACCCATTTTCCCAGTCCTGCTCAAATCAGAGTAAAATTTTAGGGATCCTGAAAAATTCAGACTTGTTGCTAACCCAGTACTGAGTTTCCAGAGCACAGCGCGTACAGACCCTGAAACACTTGTACCTAAACTAGCATGCGACCAGGAAATTTTCGACTAAGTCCCCGAACGCTAGAGACATCCCCCACACCCCTCTGTCAAACATATTTGTGTATGTTATCATAGGCTGGATAGGTGCATGCTCTTAGAGGGTACAACATGTGAACAAAATCAACATGTATGCCTCATTCTAGTCAACTGTTTACTCTGAGATGGTATGACGCGCTAGGTTAGGTCCTCCCCGCCCACCCGCGCTTCCGCTCCCGTCCTAGTCCTAGCCGCCCGCCCGCCCCTTAGCGCCCCGTTAGCACCCCGTCGGCCCCCTCTGGCCCGTTAGCGCCCCGTCGGCCCCCTCTGACCCGTTAGCGCCCCGCTGGCCCGCTCGCGCCCTACCGGCCCCGTTAGCGCCCCGTCGCCCCCGTGCGCCCCCTCCAGCCCCGTTAGCGACCCGTTGGCCCCCCGCCCCTCTGGCCCGCTAGTGCCCCGCAGGCCCGTTTGCGTCTTGCCAGCCCCGTCAGCGCCTGTCGGCCCCGTGCGCCTCTCTGGCCACGCTCGCCCCGCCAGCCCACTAGCGCCCCGCCGGCCCGCTCGCGCCCTACCAGCCCCGTCAACGCCCCGTCGGCCCCGTGCACCCCTCTGGCCCCGCTCACCCCACCGGCCCATTCGCGCCCCGCCGGCCTGCTCCCCTCAAGGCCCCGTCCGCGCCCCGTCGGCACCGTGCGCCCCTCTGGCCCCGCTTGCCCCACCGTCCCGTTAGCGCTCCGCCGGCCCTCGCGCCCTACCGGCCCCGCCCGCGCCCCGTCGGCACCGTGCGCTCCGTCGGCCCTCGCCAGCCGGTCGCTCAGCCAGCCGGCTCCAGCGCCGGCTTCCCTGCCAGCTGTCCCCCCCGCTCTCCATCGCTCTCCACCGCACTCCACCGCACTCCACCGCACTACACCGCACTACACCGCACTCCACCGCACTATACCACATTACACCGCACTACGCCGCGCTCCACCGCTTCCTCCACCTGTCCTCCTCCCTCCGTCAGCGGCCGTCCGCAGCTGCAGCAGTGGAGATGGCGGAGTCACAGCTCCGACTGGACGCAGAGGGTCGGGCGCTCAACATTGAGGCATGGCTCGTCGACCTTCGGCGTCACCTTACAGGTCACCGCCAGGACGGTCACTCACTGGCTGCTCATGTCGATGGCCTGCTTCCCGATCCCCCTGCCCCTGCTGCCCTCCCTGATGCCCACCACTGCTGAGCGTGAGGCGTTTTCCGCTGCTGCGCTTGATCGTGCCGTCTGGGACTCGCGCGACGCTGTCGCCCAGCTTGCTATCAGCCGTGCGCTCCCGATGTCTGAACGTCCTTGCTATACCACTGTAGCGAATGCCCAGGCCTTCTTAGATGCTATCATTGCATTCAATTCCACCCCTGCCACTGCCTCTGCTGGTTGCTTGATCCTTCCCATATTGTTCCCTGATCTTGCTTCCTTCCCCACTGTCGCCGACTTTGCCACGCACCTCCGCGCTCTTGAGTCAAGCTACCGCACTGCTAGCACTGAGGAACAGCTCACTGCCTTCCCGCCGCCGTTTTGCGCTACCCTTTTTCTCATAGCCACGCACCTCCCTGACCGCCTAGTCATAGCCCGCGACCACTTTCTTAGTCAGCACCCGGGTGACCTCACTCTCACCACCTTTGTCACTGCCCTGTCTGAGATAGAGACCCGCCAGCGCAGCATCGCTCAGTCTAGCGGTGCTGCGGCGGTACCTATCTTTCAGGGCTGTGCTCCCTCCCAGTGCACTTGCACGGACGTCTCTGCTGCTGTTGCTGAGGCCGCTGCTGCGGCCTCAGCGCAGAAGCGTCCGGGTAAGGGTCGCCGCCCCAAAGGAGGGCGTGGTGGGGGGAAGGGGGGTGGTGGTGGGGAGGGTGGCAGCGGTGAGGACGGGGATGGTGGTTTCGAGGAGGGGACCGGGGCTGGTGCCCTGGAGCAGCCGCAGCAGCAGACGCAGCCTCAGCAGCAGCAGCAGTAGACTCAGCAGCCGCAGCAGCCGCCGTAGTCGTCGCAGCAGTAGCAGTCGCCGTGGGGACCCCCGCCGCCGTGGTGGACTGTCGGCGCTAGCGAAGCCGGTCGTGGGGGGGGCGGACGCAGCTCGGTGTCGGGTGGCAGCTCCAGCGCAGTCACCTGCCAGTACCAGCTTCAGACTGGCCCTCTCCGCGGCACTGTATGCCTCCGACCCGGCCACACTGCCGACCGCTGCTACCGCCGCCTGGACGACCTGTTTCGCCACCACTTTGGTCCTGCGTCGGACCCTTCGGACTGGTATGCCCTGGCTCGCCATCGTGTGCCGATCTTTGAGCTTGACATGGATCAAATTAGGAATGCTATGTCTTTCATGTATGCTGATGACTCTAGTGCGCGCCATCGACAACCATCTCAATCCATATCTCAGGTCAACCCAGTGGAATGAGAACGATGCCATTTGCACAATGTAAAATTTTGAAGTGTTCACACAATCAAAATTGCATATTGTGAATGCGAAGTTGCTTATAACGCAATCTTCGGCATCGTCGAAGCGCGCTATTCATCCTCCTCGAACTATATAATGGGGTTGGAAGTCATTCTATTTCCACCCATGGTTTTCATTTTTTCACACCTCAAATTCAATTCCCGCCCACCAAACGAGGGCTCCAGATAGTAGACGAAATCGGTGTGATGGTATGAAAATCAGACTGGAATTTTTAGGTTCATCTGAATTTTCATACCACATGTTTTATTTCGTTTGAACATTAAGGCGGATGTTTAAATTTCGTCTGAAAAAACAGACCGCGGGTTATATTTCGTCTGAGAATCGAGACAACGCGTACATTTCTGTCTGACAACTTCGCCCCGTAGGCCTATGTATTTGGCTGTAAGGGATTTCACGAAATTTGTTACTTTTGTGAGGGCTGTGAAAGCAATGTCTGGTTTGGGGGACTTACAGTAGCTGAATTTCCTGGGTCACGACTTGCGAAGGGTGTGGGAGGAATGTCTCTGGTCGTGGGGACTCAGCTGAATTTTCTACGTTGCGAGGGGTGTGGGAGGAATGCCTCTGGCTTGGAGGACTTAGCCGAAATTCCTTAGTAGGGGAATTGTGGGAGTGGTGTCTCGAAATGTTAGCAAAAATCCGCGCCCGTAACAGCCTGGTGGCGATATGCCAAGGGAGCTGCTAAATCTTGGGGGCTTGAATAGCAAGTCTGATTGTGGCAGAGAAAAAAACTGTTTGATCCGGCATAGCCGGTTGGGTGCGGCCCAAAAACCACTCTAAAAAGGTCGGTAAGGAAATTAAACTAGGTCCGCTAGCGGACAAAATCTTCGAGCCAGTTCCTCCCTCCAGCCCATCGAACGAGCTAGGGCACGTGGAGAGCCCCTCGACAAGCTAGCAAGGGTGGAGAAATCTACCCCGCACCAGAAGTATGACTTAGCAAGGCGTGTAAATGTACGGAAAACTGAAATATATATACGGTATAAGATACTATACTTCTGCGATAAACTTTCGTCTGATTTTTCAAACACATAAATTGTTTTCATATGAAAAATAAGACGCGTGCAATTTTTTCATCTAAACGTTAGACGAAGGCAAAAAACTTGGTCTGATTATCAGATAGGCCTAAAAGTTAGCAAGGACCCAGCGCCTAATACGCTTCGCCTACTCTCCCACGACAACATGCACCGCTTGTCGTGGCACTGGGATAGCCTTGTCGATCCTCTTCTCTTTCTAGGGAGGGTTCTAGGGAGGCTTTCCCTGGGGAAGGTGGATATATGAAGCCAAACCCTCCTTAAGACATCCCTTCTTGTCGCTATGGTTAGGACTAGTGACTTTAAGACACCGCTTTGGTAGATAGCAGGGCTTACCTTTGATTTTTCACCACTCTGATTTTCACGAGTGACTCCTGGACAAAATCTGATTTTCATAGTGCCCTGGA